TTCTGTTTGAAACATCATCTGAAATAAGCTAGTTAGAATCTAATGATTTCTCTTGGTGGCATTTTGAAGTTTTCAAAATTGCTACATATTTGGTCAAAAAAGTTAATTTTTAAAATTTCCAAACTTCATATATGAGAAACATTTAACTTAATTTGACTCAATCTTTCCTATCATAAAATCTTAGTTGCTAATTTTAATTTTTCCCATCTTACAGGAAAGCTACCATATACATATTAACTAGAAACTTTGTTTAACTTTCATCTTAAAGTATCTTTAATGGTAATTTAATACATTTCAGTCAGATAACTCAGAAATATACTAGTGATCAAAACCTTTCCTTATTTCAGAGTTAATATTCCAAGTAGGTGGTTTCCAATTTTGAAACTGAATGTTAGTTATACAATTATTGGTGCAGAATAAGAGAATTACCATAAAACATTCTTAATCCAGAATGCATTACTTATTTGTCGTACTTGCTCAATATACTTTTAAAAATATTTGAGGCAGGGGCCTCCCCGGTGGCTCAGCAGTTGAGCGCTGGGTTGCGAAGCTGCTCACAGCCTCTGCAGCGTCGGTTTGAACCCCGGCCACTGGGCGAGGGTCCCACATGGCGCGCAGACCTCTCCTGATGCCCGCTGCTCCCCTCAGCAGTGTACTTTATCAGTCTGCCTGCTCTGCTCTCTGCTCTGGCTCTGGTGAATTCTCTCACCCTCCCATGCTTCTGACTGTGCCCAGTGCTTGTATAAATAAATAAATCTTTATTAAAAAAATTTTTGAGGCATCTTAGAAATAAAATACAGAGAAATAAAATACAGTACAGGAAAAGAGAATTTGAAAACAAAGCTGAATACACTACAAGAGAGAGGAAAGCATGTTCCATAAATGTTGCTTTCTGACATGTTGCTTTCTGTTGCAGAGAATCACAATTTTCAGTTTCCTGCTGAAGGTAAGCAAACTGGGTGATATGACTCTTTTTTTTTTTTTTTAAAGATTTATTTATTTATTTATTTATGCATATACTGGGTACAGTCAGAAGCGCGGGAGAGTGAGAGAATTCACCAGAGCCAGAGCGGGGAGCAGAGCAGGCAGAAGGACCGAAGTACACTGCTGAGGGGAGCAGTGGGCAGCAGGAGAGGTCTGCGCGCCATGTGGGACCCTCCTCCGGTGGCCGGGGAGCAGCTGGGGAGCGAACTGGTGCTGCAGAGGCTGCGGGCAGCTTCGCAACCCAGCGCTCAACCGCTGCGCCACCGGGGAGGCCCTGGGTGATATGACTCTTATAACTTATGTTAATTTTTTTGTTTTATTAACAAAGTATGGAAGTTCTCTGAAAGCAGTCCTTTTAACTAAATGAAAGATAAATGAGAAATTTATTATAAAAGATGTGGTATATTGGGCTCATAGAAGATGTATCAAATAAGCATTTCTTGTATTAGTTTGAAAAGTATCTTAATGAGAAATTTAGAAAAAAAAAATCCTAAAAGAAAAATGTTATAAATCACCGTAATTTACCACCCAAAGTAACTTTTTCCAAAAATATACCCATGTATTTTTAAATAGCTACCATTATGATCTGCACTTTAGATTCTATACTATAATTTCTATACTATAGTGACTTAACATCATGTTACATATATTTTCCATGTTTCTGTATAATTCAAACAGTATTTAATGACTAAATAGTATGCAGTCTTATAGATGTGCTATCATTCCTACACTTCGAAGACTTGAGGTACTTCCACTTCTTAGCTAACACAGTACAGTGGCATTTTACATGGGAGTTAGTCTGTTAGTATGTCAGAAATCTTGATCAAAGTCACCAGTGAAAAGGGGGGCGTTTGCTTGCTTAGTAGGTATAATGTATTATCGTTCATTGACTCTATCATAGAGTTTTTCCTCCAGAGTGGAGTTATAATGAGGGTTCTTGAACTGAAGATTAGATGAAATATTTGGCTTCCCTTTAAAAGCCAGACTGAAAAGGATTGCATTTATTTATTTATATTGACTATAAATAGCATTTATAGAAATATGCATAGTTGATTCTAGTAATTAAATTTATTTTTTCCTTATTTTTCTCTTCTTTATTTTTTCCCTATTAACAAAACTTCTCACATTTATGATTTTCCTTAGGTTATTTCTAAATTTTCCATGTGTCTGTTTAACTATGGAATGTGGAAATGGTTTCCTTTTTTTTTTTTTAAAGATTTATATATTTTTAATATGATTTTTTTTTATAATTTTTTCTTCTTTTTTTAAATTATTATTTATTTATTTATTTATTTATTTATTTATACAAGCAATGGGTACAGTCAGAAGCACGGGAGGGAGAGAGAATTCACCAGAGCCAGAGCGGGGAGCAGAGCAGGCAGAAGGACCGAAGTACACTGCTGAGGGGAACAGCGGGCGGCAGGAGAGGTCCGCGCGCCATGTGGGACCCTCCTCCGGTGGCCGGGGAGCAGCCGGGGATCGAACTGGCGCTGCAGAGGCTGCGGGCAGCTTCGCAACCCAGCGCTCAACCGCTGCACCACCAGGGAGGCCCAAGATTTATATATTTTTATACAAGGGTTGGGGTGCAGGGCAGAGGCACTGGAGGGTGAGAAGATTCACCAGCAACAGAGCAGGGAGCAGAACTGGCAGACAACCAAAATACACTGCTGAGGGGAGCAGCGGGTGTGACAAGAGAAGTCTGCCATGCCATATGGGTATCTCCCCAGCCGCCTGGGAATTGAACCTGCGCTGCAGCAGCTGCACACAGCTTCACAGCACTGCACTCTGCACTCAACCTGCTGCGCTACCAGGGAGGCCTTTTTTAATTTTATTTTATATATTTTTTACATCGTTTTTCATTTTTGCACAATGTATGCATTTCCATCCCGGCAGTAGTCCCCATACAATTCCCACCCCCCTAATTTTGACCCTGTTCCCTCCTTCCCACCCCCCAACCCCAGTGTGTCTCTGGTTTATAGTTATTTGTTGATTTGGGTTTTTATCTAGTAATTAAATGTGTGACATGACTCCACTTTCAACATTTTCAGACATTTGATGGTGCATGAAAGATATCTTAATTGTAATAAAGGAGTGAAAATTCCTCTTGCCTGGGCATACCTGAAGGGTGAGGGCCTTCCCAATATATGGGGAAGGAGAAAGTATTTGTTAAAGACACAGAAATACCTGTGAAGTTTCTATCATCTAACATAATACAAAGTGCTTTGGGTGGTTGGATAAATATAAGGTAACTCCAGCGCACAGGATGTATTTATTAAAGAAATACATTTAGAAATGTATTTCTAACAATAAGAAATATTCCCAAACTTCTAATAGTTTGTTATAAAGATAACTAGTTTAGACGTGATCCTGAGCAGAATTGTTTCCCTAAATTTTTTCCCTTTAGAAGGGAGAATAGTATGTGACTAAAAGCACCTTAAATCCCTTTTTGAAAACATAGCTAGAAATATGCTATCTCATCTTTTGGTACATGGGTAGTTGGAGACCATATTGAGCTTATTTGCTGTTGCAAATTGATTCAGCTTTGATGCTAACACACTGACTCTTTTTAAGAACTGTGAAACATACAGATGCCAACATTCACGTGTGTGTGTGTGTGTGTGTGTGTGTGTGTGTGTGTGTGTACAGTGTAAGTGCATATACCCTTGGTTCCTGGTGTTCGAGACGACTAGGAACTTCTCTGACTTTGGTAGCATCGACTTTTTTTTTTTTAAGATTTATTTTTTTTTTTATTTATTTATACAAGCACTGGGTACAGTCAGAAGCGCGGGAGGGTGAGAGAAATCACCAGAGCCAGAGCGGGGAGCAGAGCAGGCAGAAGGACCGAAGTACACTGCTGAGGGGAGCAGCGGGCGGCAGGAGAGGTCTGCTCGCCATGTGGGACCCTTGCCCGGTGGCCGGGGATTGAACCAGCTCTGCAGAGGCTATGGGCAGCTTCGCAACCCAGCGCTCAACCGCTGCGCCACTGGGGAGGCCCAGCATGGATATTTTTTAAATTTAATAGACATTCGTTTATATTCATAGTCTGGCTTGTAGGTCTATCTCCCCCACGCATTCACCTGAAAACCGTGGCCTTCCAGAGTCAGTCTGTGCCTCATTTCTGCTGACCCACCCTCCTCACACACACCGTCCCCCGCAGGGCTGGTGGGGCCATTCTTTCCTGATCGTGAACTTGAAGCTCTTGACCTTGCAATTCCCCCCAAATATCGGATGAGGACAACATTTACGGAGGAATCTGTGGGATGAATTTCACAAGGTTCCCCACAGACGAATCCAATAGCGCGAGGGGGGCGGGGGGGGGGGATCGCAGGAACACCACGGGGTACAGCGCTCCCTGGCGCCGCCCCCCACCGCCGCCCCCGGGGAGGGGGCTCCTCGGGGCTCCCTGGCACCGCCCCCCTGTCGCCAACCCCCCAAGCCCCCCCGCGTTGTTCCTGGGCTCGTCGCGGCTCACTACCCTCCGCCCCCCAGCACCCCCGTCGCCCCCCCCCGCGCCGCCCGCTCCCGACCCTGGACCCGTCGGGGATCCCTGGTGCTGCCCCCCACCGCCGCCCCCGGGCCCTTCGGGGCTCCCTGGCACCCCTTCCCCCTACCGCCGCCCCGGGCCCGTCGGGGCTCCCTGGCACCGCCGCCCCCACCCCGCGCCGTCCCTGGGCACGTTGGGGCTCCCGGGCACCCCTTCCCCACACCGCCGCTCGCCCCCCACCGCCGCCCCTAGACCCCTAGGGGCTCCCCGGCGCCGCCCCCCACCGCCGCCCCGGGCCCATCGGGGCTTCTTGGCGCCGCCCCCCACCCCCGCCCCCGGGCCCGTCGGGGCTTCCTGGCACCGCCCCCGGGCCCGTCGGGGCTCCCGGGCACCCCTGCCCCCCACCGCCGCTCGCCCCCCAGCGCCGCCCCGGGCCCGTCGGGACTCCCCGGCGCCGCGCCCCAGCGCCGCCCCGGGCCCGTCGGGCTCCCGCGATCGCTTCCGGGGCGCGGCGCGGCGCTTCCGCAGCATCATGGCGGCCGCCGAGGACGAGCAGCCGGCGGCGAGCGGGGAGGGAGAGCGGCTGGATTTCCTGCGGGACCGGCACGTGCGGTTCTTCCAGCGCTGCCTGCAGGTCCTGCCCGAGCGCTACTCCTCGCTGGAGACCAGCAGGTACCTCGCCGCCGCGGCCCGCGGGCTTGGCGCGGGGCCCGGCCCGGGGGAGAGGCGCCGCCGCGCCCCGGGCTCCCTGGGCGGCCGCCGAGCCCGCGCCCCCCGCCTGCCCCCCGGCGGGCGCCCCCGCCCCGAGCCCCGCGGGCGGGCCGGGGGAGCGGTAAACCCGGGGCTCTGGGAATCTCCGGTGTCCAGTTCCCCCCGCCCCCCCATTTCCCCAGCATTTTCCTGCCAAGCCCGAGCTTCCTCTTCGCCCCTCCTCGAGCCCGGGAGTCCCTGGGCCTGTTGCTCCCCAGAGCCAGAGGGAAAGAGAACGCGGCCGTCGTGGGGTTACAGGCTCCCGGGCTGCCCTGGCCCCCCACACCCCTTAACCCCTCATCGCCCGCCGGCCTGGAGCTGGACGCGCAGGAGCGGCCGAGAGCTCCCCAGCTCCGAGCAGACGTGAACTTTCCAGGAATTGTGCCTCTCAGGGTAGAGGATTGGCGGCAGGCACAGTGTCGCGGGAAGCAGCCAGTTTTCAGTGTATTTGCAGGAGATCCTTGTAAGCTGGAGCCGACTGCCGAGTGGGATCTGGCAGAGGCTAAGAAACTCCGAATTAGTCATTCAGAGTACGAGTCTGGGCTGGGAAGAGCGACGAGGAGGCGGGCCTTGCTCTGCCTTGCTGTTTTGGAGGGAGTCTCCAGCGCTCGTGGGTCTGCCTGGGAAGAGAGAGCAGAATGTTGTTCTGAGCTCTCATTTTTTTGCACTCTGAGCCTCTGGTGTCTTCTGAGCACTGCATGACTGAGTCCGTTTTGGGAGTCATGTACATTGTTTCTGCATACTGTGGTCAGGAAATACGGATTAGTGGGGTGCAGCTGACCAAGACAAGCCAGCAGCTTCAGGGGAGTTCTGTGCTTTGTGATAGTGTGGGGTTCCTGGGACCATAAAAGGGGCAGGTGCGCCGTCCCTCATCCCCCTTTCTGAAAGAGACTATTGGTACTCCAACCACCACTTGAAAGTATCTATCTGCTGGTTTACTTGTCTAATATCTTTCTTTCACCCTGGATTGTAAACTTGATGAAGGCAAGAACTTTGTCCACTAGAGCTTCCCTGCCCGATGTGGTAGCCACTAGGCATGTTTTTTTTTTAATTTGAATGAATTAAAATTATAGCAAATTAAAAAATTATTTGTTCTGTTTGCTGTGGCACATTTCAAGCATTCAGTTACACCGCCTCTGTTTAAACATTTCCATCAGCTCAAGAAAGTCCTTTTGGACAGCATGGCACCAACACCTTGAGTATTATCTGATATATGAGAAGCGCTGAGTAAATATTTGTTGAATAATGTGAACGGAGCCCTGAAGGATGACCCAAGCCGTGTTAAAGAGTGAAGCATTTTGTATTCCTTTCTCCATCCATAGGTGTTGTAGAGCCTATAACTGTAGAGCCTAGACCTAGACCTAAATAAAGATTTCCAAAAATAAGCCATTGATTATAGTAATATGGGATGTAAAAAAAATATATGTTGATAGATCACGTATATATTTTATGGAATCAATTTTTTTGTGAATCGAAAACATTTGAATAAAAAAATTCTTCACCCTATTGCGATTGTTAAACAATTCAACTTTGCTTGTAGTCATCACAGTAGTTCTGGTTGCATTTTCAAAATTCCTACATAGATGAAACCATATAGACTAATATTGCATGTCAGTGGTAAATTGTGATCTTGCCCACAGCATAAGTAAACAAGCAAAAGTGGTCTGATTGAACAACTAATACACCAGTTAATTTAATAATTTCAGTGTAATCTTAGAATCTACACCAGGTATTATATATTAAATGATAAATATATAATGTCAAACTGCGTTACTTAAAAGATATGAATTATGTCCTTTTTATGGCTATTTGTCATTTGAATAGAATATTTTTTAAAATATTTATTTATGCATACAAGAACTGGGGTACAGGCCAGAGGTGTGGAGGGTGAGAGGATTCACTAGAGACAGAGTGGGGAACAGAACAGGCAGACTGATGAAATACACTGCTGAGGGGAGCAGTGGGTGAGCCAGGAGAGGTCTGTTGTGCCATGTGTGTCTCTTCCCTGCCTGGGGATCGAACTCTGTGCTGCAGTGGCTGCTGATAGCTTCATAGGTTGTGTCTTACCCCCTTGTGCCACCAGGGAGGCCCTGTATAGAATATTTTAAAAACGTTTTTTATTTTCTTGTGATTCCCTTAAGATCATCTGTACATATCAGTTTCTGAAGTGATTTTTAAAGTTTTCATCTTCCTGATTGACAGTCTTTATTTTCCTTAGTTTGGCTCTAAGTCCTTTTGTGGTATATGGGATTTATAATTTAAAATGGGGTCTCCCTGGTGGCGCAGGCGGTTGAGCAGAGCGCTGTGAAGCTGCCTCTGCAGTGCCGGTTCGATCCTCGCTGGCCTCAGAGCAGCCCACATGGCGAGCAGACCTCTCCTGTCTCGCCGGCTGCTCCCCTCAGCAGTATATTTCGTCAGTCTGCCTGTTCTGTCCCCGCTCTGTCTCTGTTGAATCCTCTCACCCTCCCGCGCATCTGGCCTGTACCCCGATTCTTGCATAAATAAAATAAATAAAAAATATATATAATTTAAAATGCTTGTGAAGAAGCTCCAATCTTTTAAGCAAAGGTGAGTGGTCAAAAAAAGGTTTCTACAAATGTATGTTCTTATTTTCATAAAGCCATGACTGTTAAAAAAAATAAAAATAATCCTGCTTGTCACACTAAATGAAATAGGGAAATGGAATCATTTTGCCAAAAGTGTCAAAAACAAGTGTCTAAATGTCTAGTCCACTATCAGTCCTCCTAAAATTTAGCTGTTTCATAGTTTTCAGTAAAAAGAAGGAAACTCAGGTTCACTGAATCATTGGTTTAACTCTGAGATAAAACAATTTATTGACTAAGTTATAATTCTTGCTTGGTATTTGCTGTTTAATTCCATAAAACATTAAGTGCCTGCTCGGCGTCTGAGTGTGGAGATACCGTGTTAAACAATGATTTAGTGACCCTAAGTTTGTTTCTTTTCTGCTGGTACATAACCTTGAAACATCAGATCCCTTAGAGACACCTTCTGCAAATTGACCCACTGGTAAACCAATTTCTTCCTCCCATATAAGGTAAACATCTTCTATGTACTAGCTGTTCAGAGTAGAAGAGGCAGGAAGACATGCTACTACTTTCCTTTTTCAGGCTAATTATAAAGAAGAAAAAAAGAGAGCAGACAGATGTTTTCCAAAGAAGGAATGAAGTAAAAAAAATAACTTCATTTGTTTATCAGCCTGTTGTAAGGTGCATGTGTTGGCAAGAAGACCCACCCCTCTAGACCAAGATGGTTGCCTAGCATTCTGAACCCCAGGTAGCAGTCATCTGAGCCCCATAAAATCCTACGTTGTTTCTCTCAGGCCCCTACCTCAAACACCTTCACATTTTTAATAGCTTGTTGGACTCTCTGTCTCTCAGAGTGTTAGGAATAACACTCTGGCATGGTCCCTAGAGGAATACCTTCCTGGGCTGTCTTACAAGGAGGCGGCGCTTTGCTTTTTTGTTTAGCCTTCCTCTGTATCTGTGGCAGTCCCTCTTCTCAACTGCTATGAATTGCAATGATGGACTTTCAGGATTTTAAAACCATTTGCCACCAGATGACTAATTCCTGATATTTGCATCCTTATCCAAGATCAAGTGCAGTGAAAAACACCACTCAGATCACACTTCCATATGACTTTTAAGCCTCAGCATCTTTGACCCTTGGGGCCAGATGCTTTGTTGAAAGGGGCTGCCTTCTACCTTGTAGGATGTTTAGCAGCATCCCTGGCCTTTACCAGGGAGATGGTAGGAGCACCCACTCATAATTGCAGTAACTAAAAATGGCTTCAGAATGTCCCTTGGGGATGGGGGGAGAGGTGTGGGGGCAAAATCACGGGGCAGTCCCCAGTGGAGAAGCTCTGCTCTTCTACAAATCTTGGAAATTTTTTTTTAAATACCGGGTACCCAGACGCTCCTCCTCCCAGAATTTGATTTCATTGATTGTTTTGGAGTAGAGTGTAGGCCTTTAGGTTTTGTTGGTGGTGTATAGTTGTTTTTAAAGTGATTTTATTCTGCAACCAAGTTTGAGAAACTGCTATGGAGCCCACCACCCCATGACTCAAAATTCCCAAACAGTTTCAATTTGGTTATCTTGCATTGACATCTCAAGCAAATTGCTCACATCCCTTGGACTTTGTTATCAAGAGCTTGAAAATTAAAGAGTTGAACTGAAAAATTTGGAAAGTTCTTTAATTTAGACAAGCATGCCAATATTGCCCTTTGGATATGTTTTCTTGTGTGTTTTTTCACAAATAAGAAGATTGTTGTTTTGTCCAATTCAAATCCTTCAGGCTGTTCTCCACTTTTACCTCTCTCTTCCTTTTGCCTTTTTCTGCAGTAATGCCTTACTAAATTATGAGATGTTAGCTTTATTTGACTATGGTTCCCCTTACAGATTATAGCAGAACCAAAATCCTTGTAGAGCTCTCCAGCTGCAGTCTTGCACGTCTTTTAATAGCTGGTTCAATAAATACTTGCATGCATACCATGAACAAGGCAGACCTTATCTCAAGAGACATAATTATCTCAAGAGCAGCTATTTTAAAACTTGGTTGCGGTTAGGTAAAAGTTTCCCCATGTTGAAAATAGCACTTTGTGTTGTCTAAGTGGTTGGAGGGGATGGGAGGGGATAGCTCTATATATATAACATAGCTATTATAAAATATATAACCAGTGACCTGGAGAAAGGCTCCTGTTGTACGTGTGATGAGATCATAAGATTGTTGTTACACTCTATTTATATATACACCTATATTTATTGGGTGTTTGCTTATGGATAAGTAAGCCCAAATAACTGCATGAGGTGTTACAATGATTTACAGTTGAAGAAAGTGACTTCAAAAAGGTTAGGTGGTCCTCCTTGGTGGCGCAAGGGGTTAAGCACAGCACTGTGAAGCTGACCGCAGCCACTGCAGCACAGTTCAGGCCAGCCAGGAGCTACCCACATGGCGCAGCAGACCTCTCCTGTCTCACCCCGTCTCACTCCCCTCAGTAGTGTATTTCAGTCCGTCTCCCTCTTCTGCTTTTAGCCTTCAGTCTGCCTTTAGCCTTCCGGTTGTCGATATACCAGCTTCAGTAAATTCATGTATGATTCAAATGAGTAGGATCGGTTTCTTCACCCCTGAAAGTCCCCTAAAATGAAAAAAAAGTTAAACGAAAGTTTGATATTATTAACTTGTATGAATAAATACTGTACTTTTGCTTTTGCAAGCTGGGAACATTGTTTAAATTATTGTAAAGTTACAGTGGGTTTATTATTTTTCTGAGTCAGAAAGATTTCACTGGTTTGAAGGTTAAGATGTAATTTTATGTTTTTTTCTTCTAGGTTGACAATTGCTTTTTTTGCACTCTCTGGTCTGGACATGTTGGATTCCTTAGATGTGGTGAACAAAGATGATATAATAGAATGGATTTATTCCCTGCAGGTCCTCCCCACAGAAGACAGTGAGTGAGTTTTTAGCATTTTATTTTTAGTGTGACTAGTTGTACCTGGCATGGCATGTGTGGAACTAGCAAATCTTCTTATTTATTCATAAACTATGAACATATTTTATTCATCTACATGTTCCTTGTAATGCAACACTGCTATTCTGCTCGCTTAGCAAGATTAGCTTAATCATTAATCTCTTGAGAGAGCAATTTGGAATTGTCTGGGATGAAATAGAGACTTCACTCATAGCACGGAGCTTTATTATATTCTTACACGCCGATGACTGCGTGTTCGTTATTTGTAATTGATATTCATCTTAGATGAGTTTTGTCACACTCACTGTTTTTATTCTCAACCATTTTGCCTCTTCAGAGAAACTCTGTGCCCTCAAAATGTTTCATTTCAACCTTCTGTTCAGCCCCCTCTCACTGTTTCATTAGTGTTTCTCTACTGATTGTTTAGCGCTGTTACACTTCAGTCATGTGTACTTCTTAAAACTTTCAAAATTTGATTAATTAAATTTAAAATTAAGAATTATTAAAATTCAGAAATTACCTGGTGACCTAAATTATGCACAAGCTGTATAAGCTTCATTGTTCACTCTACTAAGTATAACATATCTAATGTCCCTTTAACTTATAAATGCTGGAGATGGGCCTCCCTGGTGGCGCAAGGGGTTAAGATGCAACCTATGAAGCTATCTGCAGCCATTGCAGCATGAGTTCGATCCCTGGCCAGGGAGCTACCCACATGACGCAGCATACCTCTTCTCACTCACCCGCTGCTCCCCTCAGCAGTATATTTCAGTCGATCTGCCTGTTCTGTTCCCTACTCTGTCTCTGGTGAATCCTCTTACCCGCTACAACTCTGGCCTGTACCCCAATTCTTGTATGCATAAATAAATAAATCTTTTTTAAAAAAAATGCTGGAGATGCTAGCTTGAAAAGAACCAAGCAAATAAACTCTCAGAAAATCATGTTGTTTTTGTCAGTGACCTTTGTCTTGAGGGTAAGCATTTATAAATTAACAGTGTGGTCTGTTGGTTAGAGTGATAGTATATAGATCCCGCCCAGATGACTTTGGAGAGAGAAAGCTAAGGCTTTATTTAGAAGTGGGTAAGAGAGAGTGGGTGGGAGGGGGGGTTGATCTATTAGCAGATGCTTTCAGACATCATTTGTGCTTCCTACTTTTTTATAAAAGTTTGTAGTGTTTGTTCTTATATAATTTTTATAAACTGCCTTTTAAAAAGTGAATTCTTGTTAAGAAATGATTAAGTACTTTATACAACATCTATCAGAACTTGGTGCACAGCTATCTAATCACTTTTCACCAGTTTCATGATACATTGCTCATAATGTTTTGGCCAGTAGTTATAGATTCCAATATGTTGGTGAGTAGGATTTTTCTAATGTTCTGCCAAGAATACTCTGCTAACCCTGTGAAGAAGGGCTGTGATAAATTACAAGATACTCTCCTCAATCTCTCACAGATTGTGGCTGACATGAGGCCATAGTTCCAGGCACCTGCACAATGGAAGTAATTTGTGTTTTCCCTTTTAATCAGGATTTTTTTTAATACTTTAAGTGAAAGTCTGGGATTTTTTTTTTAAGTTAGATGTTAGCAAGATGTAAAATAATATAGATTCTGCTTTTTTTAAAAAACAAAAAATACATGTCCTAATCAAATTATGCATTGTGGTTTCTTAGAAATATCTCATACTACAGATAGGAATGATCCGCTGTGCTGCGTAGAAAGCTCTTTGGTACACAGAAAAGCTATTCTGTATGTTTTTGCTAAAATATCTTTTATGTTATTTTTAGAAAAAGTTTATTAATAGCCACTCCTATGAAATAAAGTAGCCACTGTCTCTGTAGAAAAGTATAAACCATAACACTTCAGGGAGAGGACTCAGACTCTCGTTATGAATTATACTTAGAAGAACATTGATCACTTGTTCACCATGCTTCCCACTTTGTATCTTCTCTTGTTTCCCCCACTTTTAAGGACTATTTGTAGGTTCTATGATTGAGTTGTCCTATTGTCTGCTGTTTAATGTGTTTACCACCCCCGATCCTTTTTTCAGTGAGATGGGTTTCTTACAACCCTATAATAACCATACTCTTTTAAAAAGCTGCTTATTTTCTCATTATTTAATCTTCTGTTGTGAGAGATTTGCTACTATTTGAGCTTTTATATTATTCATAGTACTACATACTCGCTGGAATGACTGTCTTGAAAAAGGCAGGAAAAAAACCAAGCATTGATGGAGGATGTAGCACAACTGAACTCACACCCAGCGCTGAAGGCGTTTTATAACTCTTACAATGACGTACAACATTTACTACAGCTGAACATATGTGCGGTCTAAACCCAGCAACTTTGTCCATGAGGACATACCCAGCACGGGTGCAAATGTGCATTTTCCAAAAGACATACTATTTTTAGCAATATCTTTCCAAGAGCCGAAAAATAAGAACTGTACAGGCTACCCATCTGTATAGGTATACTTGACAAATGAGATATTTCAGTAGTCACTTAGTGGAATACGCTATAGTAATAGGAAAGAACAGTCTCCAGCTACACACAGAAATTTGGGTGATTGTCAAAAACATGTTTTCCAAGAAAGAAGGTACACAGTGTATTATTCCATTCCAAAGTATAAAAATAGACAAAACCAATCGGAGCTTTTGTGAAGTGCTTCATAGGAAGTAGGAAGGGATTCTGGAATGTACTTTTTTGGGAGCCGAGTGCTAGTTTTATGAGTGAGCTTGTGGAGCTGTTTAATTATGATCAGTGCACATTTCTTCTGTTAATTATATTTTCATGAAAGTTTAAAATGTTTAAAGTTAGCTTTGGTACTTGCCTGAGACAAATCAGAATTCTTTTTCCCATTGTATTTCCAACATGAGCTTCATGGATTTGTAGCCGGTGGATAATGTTTTTTCAGCCATTGCTGCTTAACTGCTGTAAGTGTTTTTGCTTACATCTAAATAGTCAAACTTCTGGAGGTCAGAAACTATGTGTCTCCCATATCGCTCCCTCTTAAGGCTTTCACACAAGACTACTGTGTATCCATCGTTGTACTGCTAACTCACCTATACCTTCTCCTGCTTTACTTGCTCCTCTTTACTGTATTTTCACATTTAATTTAGAGCATTCTCATGCTCCTCGAATGAGCAGAGCCTCAGGGCCACACACAGATGATAAGGTGATGTGGGCTGAAGTCCTTACTCCAAGTCCCAGGGCTGCTTTCTTTACCTTTGCAGTATGTCCACCCTAGTGGGGACTCAGTATCACACTTAAGTCGTTTTGTTGTGTTACTACTGCATAGGAACACTAGGTGGTGCTCTCTAAAGATCTCCAGGGGATTAACATCATCCTCCCTGTGCATTCTGTTGTGTGGCTATATAAACCAAGGTATTAGGAGGAAAGCATTATTTAGTCTCTGATTGGTTTGGAAATTAAATGAGGAAACTCCCATAAATTAACTGGACCTGACCTGGCACATCGGAAGCATTCAGCATTAGCTAGCCTGAAAGCAGAGACAGTGACAAGTCTTTCATACTAACTCCTCTTTCTCTGTACACTGAACTGCTTTAGAATCAGTACAAAAATAAGGTGTGCTTTCAATAAGTACATGTTTTTATTTTCTAGGATCAAATCTAAATCGCTGTGGTTTCCGAGGCTCTTCATACCTGGGTATTCCATTCAATCCATCCAAGGTTAGTTATCTTTGGGTTAGGAGGGAGGAGAAGGGGCATGGAAGATTTTAGTGAGGAAGAAAACTAAGAAATGATACAGAAAGAACCAGTCGATATTGTCTAATAATATACATGATCAGCTCCCACTCCTTAGGTGAAACTTGTACCCATCTTACCTCCTGGAAGAAGGTACACACAGAAATTCCTCTTATAAAAATGATCATCTCTCTTTCTATTATGTGTGTGTACAAAAACTTTATTGGTGATTTCCTGGAGAAAATAGAAATAAAGCACTCAAGAGCGTGATACTTCCTCTCTAAAAAGCTAACAGACTTCTGTGTGTGAGAGACTTTACATTTGGCTCACATTTCTTAGGGATAAAAGGGAAATTTTGCTCTTGCCAAGGCCATGATTGAAGAGCAGAGTAGTGATGACCTTGATGGCATTCTTGGCAGCAAGCAGCGTTATAATCAGAGGCTCTGGACCAGCACATGCAGGAATAGAGAGCCCTCGTTACTGACCAAGTCAGGAGCTTCTTCCTTCTTCAACAACTCAGACCCAGGACAAGCTTTGTAGGTGTTTCATCTTTACACTGATTATCAGTGTTTTTCCTATAGTAGAATCCAAAAAAGGATTCATCACATTGTCAAAAGAATTCTCATGAAATATCAACTTTTCCCTTGACGAGGGCAGTCTGCTTAGGTAATGTTACAACCAGTGTCTGACTCCACAGAGCACCATGGGTTTGACAGTCACTTGGAGTCTTATTGAGTGAGTCGGTGAGTGAGTGCTGCCAGTTTTTCTGCAAGCTGCTTCAGATATTTGGACTACGTGGCAGTGATTTTGGAGACGGTGACCTGATTTGATAGGAGCACTGCTTTAACTTTGTTCCTCTGCCTTAAGCTGTTAGCGAGCTTTAATATGTCATGGTCATGTGAATTTGCCAAGGCATCCAAGTCCCACCATTTAGCTAGGAATCTAAAAACATAGGATTTGTAAAATCTGTCTCCTTTGTTTTCCCATACATTCAATGTTTTCCAAGTTTGGACAGTCCTGAGTAAATAAAACTCTCCATTTAATCATAATGGACAGGATATCTGGATGTCACAACATTGGCAGAGATCACCACTCTATGGCACCAGACCACATACAGAAGTCTTCCTATGCTTGCATAAAGCAGTACTTAGATAGCATTACTGTTAAAATATTGTACCCTTTCCACCCCACCCCCAGACAGCTTCAAAATAGTAAGAATAAAATCTACAAAAGAACCTTTGCCACTGAGTCACAGTCTCCTGAATCCTTTTACCCCGTAATTCACCTTGACCCTCACTCTTTGGTGCAGCTAGCTATGTTCTGAATTCTCTATCTGAATTCTGAATAGCAGAAGGAGCTTGGAGACTCTTGGTGGAATCACATGCCCACAGGAATTGTCACTGAGAGTGTGGCTGAAAGAAGTTCATTTTAATGAAAACCTTGGTGCAAGTTTCATTTTAACTTTCTAGTATTTTCAGCACTTATTGTGGTATTTGAAGCAGTTATTGATGACTCCAAACTAAAACAGAAGGAAAACCTGTAGAAAGATGAATTTAAAAATATGCCATTATTCTGTCAACAAAAAACTTTCTTCAGCTGAGAATCATTTCATTTGTACAATATGAAATTTATATGCTGTAAGTGAAACCATCTTAAAAATAACTAATGGGGTCAACTGATTATTTGAAAGTAAGTGTAAAACTCTAAATGTATATTGTGGAATGTAAAGTTACTTAGAATAAGAAACAATTTTTTAATGTTATCTATTTACCTGCCACCCCCCTATAAAGATCTCATAGGTTATAAAGTTTTAATGATCTTTGATAACTTTGTAGTTATTTTTTGTTGTAACAGTCAAATCCGTGCAACTGTTCTCACACATAGTGTTACTATGAGTTCCCTAGTATGCCTTCCCAGCTCTTTTTGGGCAATTGCTAATCCTATAGTCTTCATAATGCTCTTTTTACAAGCAAAACCCATTTTTTACTCCAAATTAAGTTTACACTAGTTTATTTGTGGAAATTTTTCAATTTTGGTATCTCAAGCTCTTGCAATTTTTAAATTTTTTTGTTTCTTACTATTCTAAGACTGGGTTTATTAGAGATTCAAATAATTATAATAAACTGTCTAGGAGAGCAGGATAAAGTTTTCCAACTATATCATTTTGTAATTTTATATGGTAGTTACTACTACTGTATTTAAATGTATACATTTATAATCTTTTTTGTTTCTTACTATTCTAAGCACTGGGTTTATTAGAGATTCAAATAATTATAATAAACTGTCTAGGAGAGCAGAATAAAGTTTTTCAACTATATCATTTTAATTTTATATGGTAGTTACTACTACTGTATTTAATTTAAATGTGTACATTTATAATCTACATGGTTTTCTAACTTTGAGAATTAAATTGTGATATGGTTGGTTAAATAAAGTTCAAATAATTTGATTTATTTGGATATCAGAAATGCTTCCATAAAGCTTGAACTCTTTGAGACATAGGTTACATGGAGGCTTGTCTCTCTCAATTAGATGGCTATACAAATCTGAATAAACATTTACAACTTAATGAAACCTCATGCAGATTTCTTAATTAAATAATTTCATTTCTACTTGTTCATTAACATGTTAATTTTGAATTTAGAATCCTGGAACAGCTCATCCTTATGATAGTGGCCACATAGCAATGACCTACACTGGCCTTTCATGCTTAGTTATCCTTGGAGACGACTTAAGCCGAGTAAATAAAGAAGCTTGCTTAGCAGGCTTGAGAGCCCTTCAGCTGGAAGATGGAAGGTATGAGTTTTTCTTTGTTACCTTTTTTCATTTTAAGAAAAATCTTTTGTAAGTAAGAAAATGGATATAATACTACACTAGAGATCATTAAAATTATCAACCCATTAAAACTATCAAGATCATGGTATGTATACATACAGTTAAATGCCTAATCAAAAAAGTAATCTAAGATTTCTTCTGTGAAAATAAAAGTCATCCATAATAGTAACACTCCTTATTTTTTTTTTTAACCTGAGACAATAGATCCATAAATAAGTGAATGAATAGTTTGAGGATTAATATCTAATTTGCTTCCTGTTTGGGAAAAAAAGGATTTTTTTAAATAATCATATGTTTAATCTGAAATTTTATTCCTTAAGACAGTGACTGGGAGAGACAGGGATGAACATTGACCCTTTTACACTAGTGTTGGTAGTTTTAAAGATGATTTTAAAGAATAGGAAAAGTGGGACCTCCTTGGTGGCCTAGGGGTTAAGTGTCATTGCTATCAGCCCTACAGCCTGAGTTCGATCCCCAGCGTGGGAGCTGACCCACATGTGGCAAGGCAGAACTCTCCTGTCTTACCTGCTGCTCCCCTCAGCAGTGTATTTCTGTAAATCTGCCTGTTCTGCTCCCCACTCTGTCTCTGGTGAATCCTTTCACCCCCCCTTTCCCCATACCTCTGGCCTACACCCCCAGTTCTTCTATGCAAAAACAAATAAAATTAAAAAAGAATAGGAAAGGAATTAGTTTTATTAATATTTGGTAGATTCTGTATTGTGACCAAAGAAGAATTTTTCTAGGCTATTAAGGTAGAAAAAGTCTTTTTAATCTGAGAAGTAATAAAGTGATAATGAGTCCTGCTCTGTTACTACATCTTGTGCTCCATCTACTTATAGCCCTGTTTCCTGTTAGTGTTTTAAAAAGACTGCTTTTGATGATGGAAAACTAATGAGGACAGAGGATAAGGGGACATTAAGTAAATGTTTATCTCGACTGGTACATGTATGAAACTAACACCTTAGTATTTCACCATAGTCTCCGATTGCCACTACCTTATCCTTGTTTGTAAATAAAGGAATAGATACAAGGTGCAGACTATAAGTCCCCTGAAGCTGAGTAAGTAGTAAAAATTAAGTTAAGGCAATGTATTAGATTAATTAACAGTTACCAATATAAACATATTAGACCTTAAAGGGTTTGTGAATTTCTTACTACTCAGTAAGATTTTATCTGCTGCTTTTTCTGCCATTGATCCTGAAGTCGGTATGTCACAGCTGTCCCTAGCCTAAAGCTGGTGGTGGCAGCTGGGGAAAGGTAGCTGTGGTGGTATGTTGAGCTACCCAGAAATCAGAACATTGGAGTACAATGATTTAGAGTTAGTTTTATATTTTTTTTTTTTTTTTAAAGATTTAATTTATACAAGTACTGGGTACAGTCAGAGGCGTGGGAGGGTGAGAGAATTCACTAGAGCCAGAGCAGGGAACAGAACAGTCAGACTGACAAAATACACTGCTGAGGAGAGCAGCGGGCGGCAGGAGAGGTCTGCGCGCCATGTGGGACCCTCGCAGGTGGCTGGGGATCGAACCTGCACTGCAGAGGCTGTGGGCAGCTTCGCAACCCAGCGCTCAACCGTTGCGCCACCAGGGAGTCCCTAGAGTTAGTTTTATATTGTTTGAGTTGCTATACTTCTGTTCTTTTAAAGTGGTAAATGATGTTTAAATTCATATTTAGAATCTTAAATCCTTAGTGGTAGATTTCGCTGTGAGCAAAGACATGAAGTTGGTGTTTCTAACCCTCCTGCACAAAAAAAAACTGGTTCCAGATTAATAGCAACTCATTTTTATTTTCAGTTTCTGTGCAGTACCTGAAGGCAGTGAAAATGACATGCGATTTGTCTACTGTGCTTCCTGTATTTGCTATATGCTCAACAACTGGTCTGGCATGGATATGACAAAAGCTATCAACTATATCAGAAGAAGTATGGTGAGTTCTGTTGATAAATTGACTGTTGCCATTTCATTGTTGCTGGTGTATGGGACTTGCAGAATAAATATCCCTCATCTCTTCCATCAAGAATTTGGAAATAAGGACAGTAAGACTGATTTCTAGGTACTATAGTATCTAACAGCCATGTGGATGTACTCTTAAAGGGCAGATTGATTAGACACCCATTAGCATTAAATGTTACCTGTTTTTATCTAAACGAGCAATGTGTTTATCAAAAAGAGATTTGTTGGGAAGAGCACAGGGGACTGAGGTGATGGTGCACGGGTGCACTGGGGAAGGAAACTCTATGGGGACTACACCTGAGGGGGGGTGGGGGGAAGCAAATATTGTTTAAAAATGAACAATGATTTAAAAAAAAAGAAAGATTTGTCAGCCTTAGAAGAAAAATTAAAAAAAAACGGTAAAATCTCAAAGGTAAAGTTAAAAGTCTTTCTCAGGAGGGATCGCTGAGAAGCCTTGGCCAACAATATAATGGGAAATTACTGCATCCTGGGAGACTCTTCCTACCTGGGATGTGAGGTATGAGTCCTTCAAATCATGTTGACCAGCGAGACCTGAATGTAACAATATTTACTGAGTTAACGATTGATTTTTGGATTACTTTGTTTTCCTAATACTTTTATATATTTTTTTAATTGAGGTTTGTTTTAAGGGTAGTATCAAGTAGAAATGTCATTCTTTCACACAATACAATTTGATTTTTTTATTAGCAATAGTAAGGAAAGGTTAGTCTCAGCCAGAATTTTCCTTTGCTTTACTTTTTAATCTCTTCCATAATACTGGAGATAGAAATGCTGCTTCCCAGGTTGACTTCCCAGATACAAAGTGTTTAGTTTTATAGATTAATATATTTCAGGATGTTAATTCAACTTCTCATCATTATTTAAATTGAAAATGTGTCTTTTTAAATGAATGGAATTGTCTTTTAACAGAATGTGACAAACCTGCTTCCGTAATCCAGAGCACATTAGTTCTTTTTGATCTTAGCCCAAGGGTTACTGCTTTTATTTTTATAAACATACTACTTTCGTTACCATGCAATTTTTATTTGAAATATAATTAAGTTTACTGCATTCACCCTTAGGCTTCCCCACAACTTTGTTGATTTTATTTACTTAGTAAGTGGAAACACTAAGTTGGTTCTGAAAGTCAGAAGTATACGAAAGGGTATTTGTAAGAGAGGCGTAGCTCTCCCACCTCCTGTGTCTTCTTGCTTCTACCCCTTCCTAGCACCCGTATTTACCATCTTGTTCGCCCTCACTCTGTGGGTTAACATACTCTATAGTTTTTGGGTTGTCCATCCTCTATTTGTCTTTGATAAGCAGATACATGTATTTTTATTTCTCTTTCCTTACTCAAAAGTTGCATGCAGGAGATGTCTTTGTTGTAGTTTGCTTTTCTTAATAATATAGCTGGAAATTCCATGTCAGAGCCCGGAGATTTTCCTCTTTCTTCTGGTAGTTTCATACGTTGCAAGTATGCATGTGCCTTAGTTTTTCAACTATTCTGTATTTAGAGTATATTTTTCAACTATAAATAATATTGAAGTTAATAATCTTTTGCATATGTATTTATATATTGTTGGAAATATCTCTTGAGAATAAATTTCAGGTAGTGGAATTGCTTGATCAGAAAGTAGATGCATGTGTATTTTTATGTGCTATTACCCATTTTCTCTCCAATAAAGGATGGACCAATATACTTCCTTACCAGGATTTTGAGAATGCCTGTTTCTATATAACCTTGCTGATGGAATGCAGTTATTCTTTTATTTTTTATTGGTCTAGGGGGAGAAAATGATGACTTAGTGTATTTTAAATTTGTATTTCTTTTCTATAAATGAGATAGTGAACTATTTCCTTAACTCTAGAACTAGACAAAACCTAGTCACAGGTCAGATGTATTTTTCTGAGCTAATTATTTTCATTTGAGCCAATTATTCCTTAGGCATCCTGTAATTTAGTTTTGATTTCTCAGTTTATTTTGTCTTTTTTTCTGTTTTGTTACTGAAGTTGTCTGATATTCTCTTTATTTCTTCCTGCTGTTTATTTTTTTCCTGTTTTCAATTTTTAGGCCTTTTCTCACTCCCAGATGCCTGTTAAAGATTATATACTTGAATTGGGGTGCTGTATTACAATTTTCTTCTTTATGGCTGTTTTTTTTTTTTGAATGAGACCAGCTTTCATATAATGAGACATTTCATTCATCTGCTCTGTTTTCATCTCAGAGTTACTTTGTATAGATTTATCTCCTTCTGTTAGTCATTTCATGGATTTTTTTTTCTTACAAGAATTCCCATTTAAGAGTTCCCTCTTTTCAGTACAATGAAATACGATTTCCTTAATGAGAGGAGGTTTTTAGTTTTGGGGAAAGGGTGTGTTTTGTGGCAGAAGAGAAGTTCTCTTTTTTCGCAGATGTCCAGATTTTGTTTCTTTGAATTTTCCTTTATTCCCTGATCTTCACAAGGCCCTTCTCCCTTCCTCTGTAACTGTCTCCAATAGAGTCTTTCTATTTGAACTCTTTCTAGTCTCTTCCCTGTACTCAGGCTGCTTTACCAGAACTCTCTCAGTTCCCAAAGTGTTCACTTTGCACAGTGGGTTTGGTCCATACCATGGCCTTGCAGGTTGCAATCATAGGAGGCAATCTTAATCATCAATGGGAAAGATTATGATTGTTCTGTGACCTTGACAAAGTTTTGCCAAATATTAAAAGCTCTTTTACTGACAATTATAAATTTATATATTTGTTTTAACGGTAGAACTAATGTTGATTTAGTACTTTAGTACTTTTAGTGAAAAGATTGATCAAGAGTAGTTTGAATGGTGTTTGCCTTCTCAGTGGATAACTTAAGATTTGGAGCAAACGTGTTTCTGTCTCAGTAAATGATCCTAGTTCATTCTAGGTCTTTTAGATTTTCATTATCATGATTGTCTTAAGAATTCCTTTTATGAGAAGTTTTTTGCCAGAAAACTTTCTGCCAGATATTCCTTTTAGAATATCTTCGTCCTTCTTATCACAACCACTGTTCCTCACTCATATATTTTTCCTTCACTTAGTTCTTCTGACTTCTCTTCAAGCCTCCAGCAGCTGCACTGTTTCTTTGCTATCTTTTGGTTTCATCTCAATTTCATCTCCAGTGTTACTGCTTTTCATTTCTCTGCTGCACTTTTAGTATTTGGTGGTCCGTGCCATCTTTCGGTTATACCTTTTTGTAAAATCATGTGGGTTTATCACCCGCCGAGAGGCAACGAGAACAGATCCACACACTTTACTGTCTGTATAGGAACTGAATGACACGTGCAGTGACCAGTTAGTAACAAACTTTTGAAAAGGTGACAGGACCAGTCACAGGTCACAGTGCACACCTGTTATTCAGGTAGCAATTTGTGCACTGATGATCGGGCAGCAAGTTTGTAATATACTTTATGTAATGACTTACAGTTTACATACTATATTGTATATGTGCAGTATATATAATGGTTCTCAAATTTGAACCATACCACCTTATTTGACTAAGCCATGACCCTAAAATTCATGCATCTTGGAGCTGCCTGTATTTTCACACTTTAGAGTCAACTTCCTTCTTTTTTTGTTTTAGTCAGTGATTTGAGGTAAATCTCAGACCTGCCACTTCCTCCCATCCTCTCTCCTCACAGTTTTTCAGATTGCCTTTGTACCAGGATAGGAGAGACAACTTGCTGAGCTTTTTGTTTCTTTTTCTGTAAACAGGTAATTTGAAGTTTGAGCGTGTCTTCCAGCTTTGCTAACGCATCACTTTAATATAACTTAGTTGTTTCAAGCCTTGATTTTGTGGGAGAGATTTTGTAGGGAGATTCATATATAAGCAGGCGCCATTTATCCTCAGCTACCCACAACTGCTTAAAAGCTGATTTGTTTCATGTTTACCATTTTTTACAAGCGTAAAATCCATACGTTTTCCTTAAGCCCACATACTTTTAAGAGTGGGAATGGAGTAAGGCCTGAGGCTTCTTGCTGGGGAGAAATTGGACAGTGAGGTACCATCTTTGAACAGGCTGTCTTCAGAGTGTCCCTCGTGTGTGCACAGAGCAGTTTGTTTGCCTGGTGAGAAAGGCAAGATGAGGGACTTGAAAATACCCAGATCTGTTTCTTTGTGGGAAAGAGTGCCTGTTTTGGACAATAAAAAGAGGAAATAAAATTAGATCAAGAGACAAAAAATTAGCATACATACAATTTATGATCACACTGTTAAAATGAACATGTTTTTCTTTTTCAGTCCTATGACAATGGGCTGGCACAGGGAGCTGGACTTGAATCTCATGGTAAGACATCCTAAATAAATGCACACCCAGTTTCTTTTGTTTTTTAATCACCATCAGGGTTTCTTCAGTGCCGAGGTCCTCAGAGGTTTGCTTGCTGGCGCAGCCTGGTTTTCTTCTTTCTTCCTCTTTCTGACACCGTTGTGCCGCTGAGCCGCTTTTATCTTCCTCAGTGATTATTCAGTGATTATTTGGACCAGAAATTCATGCAATATTTTCTAGTAATCTATTCAAGTGTCAGTTGCTGAAAATATCTTGGGATGATTTATGTAGTTAGAAAACTAGTTTTTTTCGGTGATATAAGGCGAGACCAAATAGATGCAGAATCACTCAATTTGGACAAAAGTGAACATTTTTTAATTCCTTGTCTTTAGTCGTTGTCAGAAAACATTTGGTTGCATATCATGGTAATACCGTCTTTCCTTCCACACTTTCCTCCCCTTTCAGCAGAACCAAGATAGTGAGGTGAGAACCACTTAGTTTGTCAGCTTGGCAGCAGCCTGAACTCTTCCTGATTGAATGTTTCCGTGTAGAAGTTACTCAACGCGAATGCTGGTTTTTTGTTTTGTTTGGTTTGGTTTTTTAAGAAAGAACCCAGATCAAGGTTTTTGGTCCCCTCTTCATCACAGCAGCTATTTTGTCCATCCCTCTGCCAGCAAGATTGAGTGGGAAGAATAGCTAAGTATCCAGGTCTCGGCCTTGATGCTTGCTACGTCTCCTTGGTGCCTCACTATTCTCCCTGAGGACTTCTTCCTCAGCAGCTGCGTGGTGATGTTTTTCTTTAGGAATGTTATTAGGATTCTAAGCGATGTTGGGGTGAAGTGGTTTACGAACTACAAAACATCTATAAAAAAACTAAATTCAACATATGTTCCTTGACCCCATATCCTGTGCTTTCAGAGATCTTGTCCTATCAAGTGTCTCCCCGCTCTCTCACCTCATTAGTCCCTCTGCAGACAGGAGAGTCTGTGTCACTTAGTGCTACACAGAAGACTGTCTGGGTCTGCCCTTTGAAGCCACAGTGTAGGCTTCATCTAGGACTTCATCCCTCCGTGTGGGCCCCGGTCTGTGTGAGGTTGCCATGAGGAAAGCTGGCGGTAGCAGTCATGTTGCAGCCATCTCTCCTTAGTGAGGAGAGTTGTACTTACAGTTGCACAAAGAGGAAACCTGGCAGCGGCAAGGCATTCTGGGAAGATGGCCCGGTGCTCTCTGTTGTGGACGGTGTTAATGGAGCTCTGGTGGAGGAGACTACACCTCCCTCAACAGCACAGGAGATCTGGGACACAAGCGCTGGTGTTCCCAAGAATTTGAGATAACATTCTCTGGCATGTGAAACACGGGGCTGCTCAGACACGTTACAGTGATGGATCCTGTGGGGAATTGGTCTCCCCGAGTCACACAGGTGGTGCTGTTGAGTCGGTGTGGCTTGAATGGGGTTGCGGCCTTTAGCAGCAGTGGTGATGGGCTGGTCTCAGCTCATGCCCAAAGCATTTTCTTATCTAAATTTGCCTTGATGGGTTTGAAACACACAGCCCTAGAGGAGCTTCCTCATCAGAGGGCCACAGTGTACTGGGTTACAGGTATGTCAGGAGAGTGCTTTTCCGCCTGTGGGGCAGCCAAGCAGGCCGGTGGGTGGAGCCTCTGTCTGGCAATAGTCCTCGGGCTGCCACTGCGTGCTCCGCAATACCAGATAGCATGACGCTCCGAGTGTGCTGTGAGGTCAGCGAGGTGGGGCAGTTAGCTCTGCAGAACTCGGTACCGTCTTCCTCCCGGTGTGACCTCATCGTGGCCTGCGCTGGCCGGGGAAGCCTCTTCCTGCAGAGCAGCCCTGCAGCATGGACACCCACTGAAGCCACGGGTTCTCCCATTTTCTTTTCATTGTTGATGTTGCTGGAATAGTGATCCCTGCGTACCTTTCACTGTTCTGCCCCAGAGGCTTGTTCTTGAATGTTCCATATACACCTTTGGCAATTTTTGAAGTTTCTCTTCTAAAGCTGTGGTTGATCTGTCTTTTAAATCCAGTGTCTTCTCATTTCTCTCTTCCTGCTTTTTGGCGCATCTTCCCCCTTCTTTCTGGAAATACCGCTTTTCTCTTGTCCTGCCTCCTGATAAGTTGTTTCTCGTTCCTTCAGCATTTTTGTTTCTTCTCTTGCCCCTTTATGTCAGCCCAGCTTTCATATTTTCTTTGGATAGTTCATTTCTAACCCTCAGGCTTCTTGTCCTTGCTGTTCCTTCTACAGAGAATCCTCTCCCGTACAGCTGGTTTTATCTCTCACATCTTTCAGGTCTTAGCTCAACTAATGTTTTTGATAAGCTCCCCATTTGAAAGGGGAAACAGCACACATAGAAACACCCCGCCTTCTTGTCCCCTTTCTTACTTTATCTTTCTCCACGTTACTTACATTTCACACGGGAGGCCCACATAATGTTAGCCTCATGAGAACAGATGCTTTTACCTGTTGTGCTCACCATTGGAGCCCCACACCTATCAGCCGTGAAAAGTACTGAGTGAACTAACAGCTGTGCCACTCACCCCAGTGTTGATGGCACCCCAAACTGTTTCCCACTGTGTCCTGTTGCTCCTGCGTGCAGGCCCTATCCCCAGCCGCCTAGCAAGCTTGTCTGCCCTGTAGACAAGGCAGACTCTTCTGCATCTCAAGCAGCACTTCTTTAAAGCTGTCGTCAGCCTCTTTCCTCCCCAAAGCCTGTGTGTGCCATTCAGGAAACCAGCCACGGCCAGATCCACTGACTTCTCAGAGAAATGTGGAATTTGGAAGATTTATTCTCTTGCTCTGGTGGCTTTTTTTTTTTTTCAACTTGCCAGTCACACCAGTTGTCCCCCACAAGTCACCACTTTATAATCCTTGATCTGCAGGCAAAAAGGCAAAGAATTTACTTACTAATAGCTGCTTGGTGCCAGCTACCATCTAGTCTCATTTAGTCCTCATACCAGCGCTGTGTATTCATCCCATGCAGTCAGAGAAGCAACACCTTCACAAATGTTAAAGAAGGGATTTATTACTGGAATAAGGTTTTATGCAGGTTTGGAAGAAAATGAAGAGAGGCAGAAGGGCCATTGTAGGATCCGGGAGAAGTCACTGGACAGCCTCTGACACAGGTGGCGGAGAGGGGTCGGGGAGATCTTGTAGGGCCATTTGGGAAGCCAACACGTCCCTGTGAATGGTGAGTCTGGTGGATCGCTGCTCCTGCCCCTGCTGTGGGCTTAAGTTTTAATTAAAACCCTATGGGAAAAACAGGTTAACTTTTAACTAAGTCCATTGAACTATAAGTAAATTACAGTATATGGAACTAGAGACAGAGCACCCCCTTTATCCCACATGGAGAGCCAAGGCCGGTCAGTAAAGAGCAGACCTCTGCCGCTGCCCTCCAGCTGGGCTACCTCGTCCCTGAGGTCTTCTGTACGGGGATCATCCCTGTAACTGATGTATGTGTGTCACTTCAGGTGGTGAACTTAGCAATTCCAGAGGGAATTCATTCTCTGCCTGCGTGCCTTACTACTCTGTCACAATCGTATGCCTTCAATAGAGGGCATTTTTATACCTCCTTCAACCGAAGCATGATGAACACAACCTTTTCCTGATGAGTTTCTGTCATTATTTATTATGAGAAACAATTCATATGTTGTATGTTAATGAAAGGGTATGATATTCTTAAAGTTTTATGAAGGTCATAGGAATCATTGACTTTTTAATTATCCCTCAAAAGGACATTATTTTTTACAGATATTATTTTAATTGTATAACCAAAAGAAGCTGTCCTTTAAAAAGTCATTTTACAGATTTTACAAACATTTGATTTATTTTCAAATACTAACTCTTAAGTCTCTTTGCATGGTTACAAATGTCGTTTTATAAATCGTGCTGTAAGCTCAGAGGTTCACCATGATGGAGTTGAACACTTTGATGTGGTTTAGTGAGGTATCTGATATCAGGCTTTCTGATTTAACTGTCAGTCTTATTACTTGTGTGTCTCTAAGTAATATAGTTCTCTGGACTTCATTTTCTTCACCTACAAAACATATCTTACAAGAGATCAGTAAATAAAGAAATGAATACTTTCGAGTATCAATGAGTTTTTATATTCATATTCACTTATGAATTGGATGGTTTTCCTTTTGTGTTTTTATTATAATATCCTTATAAATCTTAGACTCATCCTTTTGGCTTACACCCCCTCACCCCCAAAATTCTATTTACATTCAATTGTAGATGTGTTGAATGGATTGGCTTAGTTTCAGGGGAATTGACATTTTTAATAATATCGAGTTTCTTCTGTATTGAACCTTCCATGAAGGTGTGAGTATCTCTTCTTTTATTACGACTTCTTTGATTTACTTCATCAGTGTTTCATTTTCAGCATATGTATAAATCTTGTATTTTTGGAAGATTTTACCTTTTTCATGTATTAATGCCTTTGGGAGTAGTATTTTTATTTTATTTTTATTTCTGCTTACTGGTACCATATAGTAGTATAATTGACTTTGAATATTAACTTTATTTATCTTGCTAAACTCACTTGATAGTTTTGGTGGGAGAGTTTTGGGGGACATATTTTTTTTAGGATTATCCAAGTTATATAAATAACTTTGGAAAAATTTGTGCTGTAATTGTTCAGAAGTTTCTTTCTCCCCCTTCTCTTTGTTTACCTGGGTCTCCCATGACATATAATTTAGATAATTTAATTTTTATCAGAGTTCTAAACTGCTCTGGTCATTTTCTCCCCAAGTTTTCTTTTCAGCCTTCAACTTCTGTTTGTATAATTTCAGTTTCACCTGTCTCAAGTTCACGGATATTTTTCTCTGCTGTGTCAATTCTGCTCCAATTACCCAATCAGTGATCATGCTTAATTGTCCACCTTTTGTACAAAAGACCTTAACATAGTCATTAGGACTGGATTATATTTTGTGTATTACATTTCATCTTTTCCTGTTGTTTGATTGGCTTCTTGATGACGTGCTGGTTTTGCTTAGTTCTTTGCAACGTGTTTTTGTGGAGAGTGGATATCATATACTGAGTGGAGTAGAGACTGAAGCACATTAATTGTTATGACCAGAGGGCCGCCCTCCACAAAGGATAGTCTACTAGAGAGAGTTCTGTGGTTCCTTTTTCATAGGGGTTCTTAATGTCCTGTCTTCAAGATGTTAACCTGCCTTTCCTTGCTGTTCCGATGTCTCCTCTTAACAATCTTCTAACATACTGCTTTTAATCCAGGTTTTCCAAACTAGTTTTTTTAGAACCTCTCAGGTAAATGTTGATCAGTGGATTTTGGCTTAAAGCATAGACTTTGTTTTTTTTTTTTTTTTTTTTTTTTAATATTAAATTTTATTTTTATATTCCCCCATACAATTGCAAACGCCCCATTCTGACCCCAATCCTTCCCCTCCCGCCCCCCACCCCCCAAAAAGTGTCTCTGGTTCATAGTTTTTTGTTGATTTTGATTTTCACTTTCTTATATTCATTTTCCTGGTCCCTTATTTAAGTTTTCTAGATTCCTGCTATGAGTGAGACCATCCGGTATTTTTCTTTTTCTTTTTGGCTTATTTCGCTGAGCATGATCCCTTCCAGTGCCATCCATGTTGCTGCAAATTGCATGTGTTTATCTTTTTTGAATGCTGAGTAATATTCCATGGTATATATGTACCACATCTTCTTGATCCAGTCATCTATTTTTGGGCATTTGGGTTGTTTCCAAAGCTTAGCTATTGTAAACAGTGCTGCTATAAACATAGGAGTGCAGGTGCTCTTTGGAATTGATGTTTCTGTGTCCTTTGGGTAAATACCTAGGAGTGGAATTGCTGGATCATATGGAAGCTCTATGTTTAGTAGGTCCAGAAATCTCCACACAGCTCTCCATAGTGGTTGGACCAGTTTGCACTCCCACCAACAGTGCACAAGAGTTCCTTTTTCTCCACATCCTCGCCAACATTTGTTGTTGCTAGTTTTTTTAATATGTGCCATTCTCACTGGTGTGAGATGGTATCTCATGGTAGTTTTGATTTGCATTTCCCTGATTACAAGTGATGTTGAACATTTTTTCATATGTCTGTTGGCCATTTGCATTTCCTCTTCAGAGAAGTTTCTTTTTAGCTCTTCTGCCCATTTTTTGACTGGATTATTTTCTTTGTTGTTGCTGAGTCTCATCAGCTCTTTGCAGATTTTTGTGATCAGTCCTTTATCATTAGTGTTGGGTGCAAAAATGTTCTCCCAGTTGGTGGGGTTTCTCTTTGTTTTTGTTATTGTCTCTTTTGCTGTGCAGAAGCTCTTTAATTTGATGTAGTCCCAGCTGTTTATCTTTCTCTTCACTATCACTGCTTTGGGTGATGTGTCTGTAAAGATGTCTTTGATGTGCAAATCCCGTAGTGTTTCGCCTATATTTCCTTCTATGTATTTTATGGTTTCAGGTCTTATGTCTAGTTCTTTAATCCATTTTGAGTTGATTTTTGTGTATGGTGTGAGGTAGTGGTCAAGCTTCATTCTTTTGCATGTAGCGACCCAGTTTTCCCAGCACCATTTATTGAACAAACTTTCTTTGCTCCAAAAAGCATAGACTTTGTATTACATTTTCTTTGGCTACTCTGTGCTCAAATAAAGTTCAGAAGTTATCTTCAAAGTCTGGTGAGATAGGTAAAATTAAGAGTATTTTTAGTTTGAATTGTTCCAGTTTGCCTTAATTCTCACAAGTAATTAGGAGAAACAATCAATGCCTCTTCTTTTTTTTTCTTTTTAAAAAGTCCTTTCAAGCATTTTTTTTTAAGATTTTATTTATTTATTTATACAAGAACTGGGGTATAGGCCAGAAGTGAGGGAGGGTGAGAGACAGAACGGTGAACAGAACAGGCAGACTGACAAAATACACTGCTGAAGGGAGCAGCGGGCGAGACAGGAGAGGTCTGCCGTGCCATGTGGGTCCCTTGCCTGCCAGCCAGGATCAAACCAGCACTGCAGAGACAGCCTCACAACGCAGCGCTCAACTGCCTGCGCCATCAGGGGAAGCCCAGTGGCTCATCTTACTTTCTGGTAGCTAAAGATTACATACTGTCTGTTAAGGCTTTCTGTTTAATGAGATAATAATATCTGAAGTTATGATCAGGTTATCATGAAAGAGAAATTGAAATTAATAGTTGCTTAATAGAAATTAATTCTGAAAGATTGTGGTAAGCCTATTTTACTTTATGTCATAGTCATAGTGATAGCTAACATAGATCTCCCAATTAATTGGGGGAAATTCTGAGTGTTAAATAGTGTGTGCTGATAGTAACCATTTTAATGTGATAGCTGCTTTGGGTTTTCTGGAAGGACTCACTTTTCATTTTCCAGAGAATACATGTAAGATTTGTAACCCCAAAAGAAAATTTACAGGGCCTCCCCAGTGGCGCAGCGGTTAAGCCCTGGGTTGCAAAGCTGCCCGCAGCCTCTGCAGTGCCGGTTTGATCCCCGGCCGCCTGCGAGGGTCCCACATGGCGTGCAGACCTCTCCTGCCACGCCCACTGCTCCCCTCAGCAATGTACTTCATCAGTCTGCCTGTTCTGTTCCCCGCTCTGGCTCTGGTGAATTCTCTCACCCTCCCGCGCTTGTAACTGTACCCAGTGCTTGTATAAATAAATAAATCTTGGGCCTCCCCAGTGGCGCAGCGGTTGAGCGCTGGGTTGCGAAGCTGCCCGCTGCCTCTGCAGCGCCGGTTCGATCCCCAGCTGCTACCCCGCCACCGGAGGAGGGTCCCACATGGCGCGCAGACCTCTCCTGCCGCCCGCTGCTCCCCTCAGCAGTGTACTTCGGTCCTTCTGCCTGCTCTGCTCCCCGCTCTGGCTCTGGTGAATCCTCTCACCCTCCCGCGCTTCTGCCTGTACCCAGTGCATGTATAAACAAAACAAACAAACAAACAAATAAATAAATAAATATGACTCCATAAAAAATAAATAAATAAATAAATCTTTTTAAAAAAAGAAAATTTACAATATAGGGCATATTAAGAACAATCCATTCAAATAGTTGAAATTAACAAAAATCACTAAAGTTGTAATAAATTGAAAATGTAAATATTTTAAAATGGTTTGACGCTGACAACCGTAGTATCAGTGGAAAGTATTTCTTTTCCTTTGTGGCAAAATACTGACTTTATATTCCTGAGGAAAGTAATTGCCTTTGTAAGTATTTTATTTCCTCATGCTCCTGTAATATTTTATCGCAAATCTAGGGGTTTGGAACAGCCCAAAATAATCCTCTTACAGTTCTTACAGGCCAAAAGCCTGAATTGCATGTTACGAGCTGAGAACAAGGTGTGAGCAGGGCTGGTTCCTTCTGTGGGCTCCAGGAGAAAATCTGTTTCTTTGCCTCTTCTGGCTGTTAGTGGCTGCTGCCATTCCTTGCCTTGCTGCTCATCATTCCAAGGGGCGCATTGCCTCCTCTTTCTGTAGTTTAATATCCCTCCGTTGCCCACCTGTAGGAACACTTGTGGTTGCAGTTAGGAACCGCCCAGGTGATCCAGGACATTCTGTCCGTCTCACCTCCAGTCATAACTCCAAGATCATCACATTTACAAAGTGCCTTTTGCCATGTAAGGTAGCTTCACATATGCCAGGGATTAAAGTCTGCGTATTGGGTGGGGATAGGGGGCATTATTCATTCTACTACTCTGAGTGTGATACTCACTGGGCATTTCGGATACAGTTTTCTTCCCTTTCTTCCTCAACTACTCCCCCCATCCCCTGCACACACATGCTCTCTCCCCTCACTCAAACTTTTCTCCCTTCATTTTCTTAAGCTGACTAAATACCTTATCCACATATCAGCTTCTGGTTTGTTTATGTTATATGTAAAGATTAGTCTGTAGCTTCAGGCAAATGAAACCTCAGTTAATAAACAGCATACTACTATACTTTTTAAAAGTATTTATTTATTCATGCATACAAGAACCAGGGTGCAGGCCAGAGGTGGAGGGTGAGAGGATTCACCAGAGACAGAGAGGGGAACAGAACAGGCAGACTGACAGATATACATTGCTGAGGGGAGCAGCAGGTGAGTCAGGAGAGGTCTGCTGTGCCATGTGGGTTGCTCCCTGGCCAGCCGGGGATCGAACTCGTGCTGCAGTGGCTGTGGACAGCTTCATAGGTTGCGTCTTAAACTTCTGCGCCACCAACGAGGCCCATAATGATGTATTTTGAAGTCCCTTAATCTTCCTGCATGTCACTTTTCTTTATCATTAAGATGTTTATTATAGCTTTAACTTATTTCAAATTCTTCTTCCAAGTGTAGTGGTTATTTTTAAATTACCTTTATTTTACTATTTTCTACAATTATTTAACTTTCCTCTCCAACTGCTTTATAATATTTCCCTAGGTATCTAATTTGAAGCTTAAATTATTGTGTGGTTTTCATTAACAGGAGGATCAACTTTTTGTGGCATTGCATCACTTTGTCTGATGGGTAAACTGGAAGAAGTTTTTTCAGAAAAAGAATTGAACAGGATAAAGAGGTGGTGTATAATGAGACAACAAAATGGTTACCATGGAAGACCTAATAAACCTGTGGACACCTGTTATTCTTTTTGGGTGGGAGCAACTCTAAAGGTAAGAGAAATAATGAAAATGAGCAACTATACTTGCAGGATAATATAAACTGCTTGAAGAATTTGATCTTTGTGACATTCATTATATATTGTTAGCTTTAGATGGCTTCATTTTTCATGCTCATCTGGAAAAATGAGTGATTTTTCCATAGAATTAAGCTATCTGTTGTGCCACTTGAAATTTTCCATTCTTACAAAACTCAAATGACCCAGAACCCAGGTGAGGAAGTAGGTATAAGGTTGTAAAAGACTTGTTAACTGAAACTGACAGTAATCCCTCTAGAGCAAGTCTCTGTCTGAACATGATACCAGTAAAGGTTTAGGGGAAGATGTTAATCTCAAAAGATAAACCATGAGTCATTCCTTTAAAACTTTTTAAAGGTTTTCTATTTTTCATTTATTTGTCTAAAGTTTCTGAAACTTATTGTTAGGCTCGAATGTTTTCCCCATCTGCACTACCTGATTCCATAATTAGTCACTAAATATCCTCAAGTTTTATCACCTAGTTTCTGGTTTTTCTGAAATCTAACCAAAGTCCTTGTTTATCTTATGCATAATATCCTCTCTTAAACAAAATGTATACATATGGTGGAAATAAATTCAGAAAACAGAATGACTTAAAATGCAGGGAATAGCCACCTTTTCCTCACTTGTAGGGCCATTTCTCAGGAGCACCTTTATAATTTTTCTAACTATTTGGAAATTCTTCAGTGTAATTGCTAGAGAAAAACAACTTAAAAAAAAAAAGAAGTATAGCATCATTATAACATCTAAAAAACCATCCAATATTTCTTATTTTCATTAAGTATTTCATTAAATATCATATTTAACTGATGCAATGTCAGTGATGATGTGTGTTTCCCATAGCATCACATCAAGTGGCACATTATCTGTGGATGTCTCTGATCAAAGGTTCCCGAGTTGTCAAACCTGATTTTTCCCATCAGCTTTTTTTTTTTTAATGTCAGTAGAACACATGTAATATTTATCACTTTAATTATTTGTAAGTGTATAATTTGGTGAAATCAATTATATTCACAATGTTGTATTGCCATCAGTACTATCTGGTGTACCCCAAGCCTTCTCATCGCCTTCAGGCTAAACTCTGTATTCATTAAACAGTAGCTCCTTACCCTCCCCTACCTCCAACCCCTGGAACCCCGGTCTCTGAGTTTGCATATTCTAGGTACATCACATAGGCGAATCATGTAATCTATGTCTGACTTCGTTCCCTTTGCATGATGATCTCAAGGTCCATCCATGCTGTAGCATAGATCACAATTTCATTTATTTTTGTGACTAGCACAATCTTATACACACACAGTCACTCCATTTTGCTTCTCCTTTTATTCTCCTTTGGTTAGATACTTGAGTTGTTTCCACCATTTGACTATTGTGAATGCAGCATTTGCATTTTGAACCTAGCTAAAAGTGGTGCAGAGAGGTTAGTTGGGCATGATTCAAAAGCAGGAAGTGGTGAGTTATCAAGAAAAGGACAGTAGATTTGAAAACATGATTTTAGAAAGATGATAATGTGGTTGACTAATTTTCAGTGCTCACTTCCATAGAGGCTTGCTCTGACATTATTAGGTGGAGGAAAGCATATTTAACTGATACAATATCTGAAAATTAAGCCACAGGTCGATGTGAATGTTTTATGTCAGTAAACTGATATTTGTTATGTCATTTCAGCTTCTGAAAATTTTCCAATACACTAACTTTGAGAAAAATAGAAATTACATCTTATCAACTCAGGATCGCCTCGTAGGCGGATTTGCCAAGTGGCCAGATAGTCACCCAGGTAATTTCCTGTTTGTGTGAAACCCAAACAACTTTCCTTTTGTTTATTTCTTAAGTAGATCTTTAAGCATCTTGTCAGAATGGGTATGTGTTAGAAAATTTAGCCACAGTTGTCAACTTACATTAAATAATGATTTTAATTGTTTAAGTTTAGGATGGAATTAAGGTGTTTAGTAATATAAAGGAAGGTTATGGGTATTGAGATATATCAGTATAGTTTGCAGATATTACAAATGTCTCACTTGGTAATGTTTTATTTCATTTGAGGCAATAAAACTGAATGGACCCTGCCCAAAATAGAGAATTGGCTGATACATCCAGATCCAGGCTTATTTAGCTATCACTTTAAGTAGAATAAATTACTCTTAATCCAGAAGGGAGCCAGTTTTTCTACTCCTGGTTGTTCAACCAAGGATCTCAAACCCTGAATACAGGTGTCCCTCACCGTCCATACTCTTATTCTCTGAATTTTGGCATATTCATGTCTTTATTTATTTGTTTGTTTGTTTAATTTTTTTAAAGAGGATTTATTTATTTATTTATATAAGCACTGGTTACAGTCAGAAGTGTGGGAGGGTGAGAGAATTCACTGGAGCCAGAGTGGGGAGCAGAACAGGCAGACCAACAAAATACACTGCTGAGGGGAGCAGCGGGCACAGCAGGAGAGGTCTGTCACGCCATGTGGGACCCTCGCCTGGCAGCCGGGGATCGAACAGCCTCTGCAGAGGCTGCGGGCAGCTTCGAGACCAGCACTCAACTGCTGTGCCACCAGGGGAGGCCCTATTATTTTTTTAAATGAATACTTTGTGGTCTGATTTTTCACTACGCATTATCTGAAACTCAGGAGCTGAATAGATTCAGACAATTTGACATGTGTTCTCCAAACTCAGGAATGACATAGATGTGAAAAGCAAAACATTCTTGTATTTTGCAAGTACTTTCAAATGGCTTTTTTGGAAGCAATGAAAAATCTTTATTAATAATGACAATTCTTCAAAATGTGTGACTAATTCTACTGGACAGGCCTCATTCGAAGCTGCATATGTAAATATAAATCTGCCTGCTTAGTAACTCCCTGATTGCCCTCTGTGTGGCCCTGGTCCTTACCTACCTCTCCAGCTCATTATCCCAGTGCTCACCCTGCCCCACAACTGTAGTGTGCCTAGACCCACTCACGCTCGGGCCAAAGAGGCCGCATCCATCCAATAGTTATCCTGTCTCCAGTCTAGTTCCCTCCTTTTGTGGGTATGTTCATGTGCTTAAATAAAAATTAGTGGCGACAAAAGCTTTTTTCAGACTCTCGGAGGGATCTCAGATGCAACAAATGTTGAGAATCTCTAATTTAGGCTCTTCTATTAAATCTGTTAAGATTATTCAAAGGCTTTCTCAAGCACCCAGAGTCAGGTCTGGCCAGGCACACAAGGCCTTCCTGAGATTGGCTCCTCTCCCACCTCTCTCATCATTCTCCAGGCTTCCTGCCCCTCCTGTGTCTTCACTTCCACCAAAAGGGATCTATTTACATCTTCCCAAAAAATCAATCGAGAGTTTGTTAAAAATAATTCAGAATGCTGTCACTTTCTGATAAGCAAGTTGACAAAGTATTAGCTATAAATATATGAAACCATATATAAGAATGATTGTTTTTGCAGCATTGCGCTAAGTCATGGTTTTTATTATTAGCTTAGAGCCTCTTCAGCTCATCTCGTATTACAGAACTGCTATGGTTGGAATATATAGTTGAATCAAAATATAAATAATATTTTTATTTGATGCTATCATGATAGCATATTTTTTGTATGTGAAATGAGCAGGAATAGCTCCTCACATCCTTATTTACCTGCGTTTTCATGCAGAATACTTCTTTAGGAAAAGAAAATGTAAAATGCTCTTCCTTTCTAAAGCAATAATATTATTTTTAATTTTTCAGTATCTATCTAATCATAGCTGTAAATATGTTAGAAAAGTGCCTCAAGAAAAATGAGATTAGGGCCTCCCCGGTGGCGCAGCGGTTGAGCGCTGGGTTGCAAAGCTGCCCGCAGCCTCTGCAGCGCTGGTTCGATCCCCGGCTGCTCCCCGGCCACCGGATTAGGGTCCCACATGGCGCGCAGACCTCTCCTGCTGTGCCCGCTGCTCCCCTCAGCAGTGTACTTCGGTCCTTCTGCCTGCTCTGCTCCCTGCTCTGGCTCTGGTGAATTCTCTCACCCTCCCATGTTTCTGACTGTACCCAGTGCTTGTATACATAAATAAATAAATCTTTAAAAAAAAAAAAAAAAAGAAAAATGAGATTATTTTTGTCTTGATATCATAGGTTTCAGACAGTGCCTGGTATTGTTTTAACAAATAACATACTGTTTTAACAAGAATAGAAATAGGGTAATGACACTCTCTGGAAAACATTTCTGATATAAACATACTTCTAATACATTTGAGTATTTACAGTAGCTTTTTTTTAAAGCGAAATTTTTGAAAGTTTTTTTTATTCAGTTGCTAGCTTTAACGTTTGTGTCTATACATGAATATAATGATTTTCACATGTTGCAGTGTCTTCAGACCCTGTGCACTACAGAGCACAGAAAGTCTTTGTATATATATAATAACAAATTACACTGAATTTCTGTGAAAAGACCTGTTCCCAGAACCTGTAGAAAAAAAAAACATTTTTAACGAGATTCTTTAAAATTATTTTTTCTTCTGATAAATCTAGAGTCAGATTTGACACAAAGACTTTGTGTCATTTATATACATTCATAGAAGAAATTTATGAAAAAAGCGAAGTTGTGTTTTGAAGAAAATAATATATTTTGTTATCTGAAATGCTTGAATGTGCATCACTCCCTACACAAAGGAGATTTTTAAAAAGTACTGTTTGAGGTTTAAAACAATTTTTCGTTCATTGGCATTACAAAATCTTTTGGAGGAAAAAAATATTACCTGGAAAGATTTTAGTTTATATACCCTGGTTTATGCTATTCTGGATGCATCTGTCTTTCTGCTGAATTTTTTCTAGAAACTTTTCCTCATTTCTAGAGCATAAAATTTCATTGCTTTGTGCCTTGTGTGATTTTAAAATAAGTACAGGAAAATTGAACTGTGCAGGGAAACAAAATTTACTTTTTGTAGTATGGAAATTAGATGAAAGTGATCAAGACTATACCAATTTTATGAATAGGTTTTCCTGTATTTTCCAAAAAGACATAAAAGAGAATTAATATGGGTGTCCATTAATGAAATAACTTCAAGTGAGTATAACTATTTGTCATTCCTAACTTGAAAGCTAGATGATATTCATATTAGTAAAATGTTTTCTTTAATTCTTTGGGCAAAATTTGGACTTTTGAGGTGTTTTGAACTTTAATGGCTGCTGCAGCCATAAATGATGTGCAGTTCAAAAATTCTTGACTGCTACAAAATCTTTTCTTGTAGTGTTCCCATAACTGCAGGGTTTTGATCTCTTCAAAAATCCAAATGAGGCTCTGGGGTCGCCAACAGCCATGTGATTTCAGTGGCTACTTCAGTGAAAGAGGGTAGGCTGACCCCTGAAAGATAGGAAACTGGTGAGGCAGTGTAGAAGAATTACAGCATGGAACACTTTATCATAACCAGATAGAATGTGAGTTTGTTTTTATTGTCAGGTCAGATATTTTTAGAATCACTAACATTACCCTAATAGCAAAATTAAATATAGCAGAGCATTCCCAAATGGATTATTTTGCTTAAGTTTCTTTCATTTAATACAGTAGATACTGTATGGATTAGAAACTACCAGATAAAACTTAGGGAGGAGAAAGGTAATGCTGCTTAAACTGAGAGGTGTTTTTTTTTATTTTCAAAGGAAAAACAAAACCTTTTGATACAGAGTTAAAGCCCCTTGTTTCTATATTCTATAGTAACCAAAGGGGGTGAACCCACTGAAGTGAGACAGCTTTTATATTTTCTCTCTTTGTCCTTTAATGACAGAGGTAGTAGTAAGTCACCTCTTTTGCTGGAACTGTTTCGCTTTGTGATAAAAACTATCATTTGATTTGGGTCATTCAATTTTTTAATAATTGACATTTTGAGATGAGAAAGCAAATATTTCAAAAACTGTATTTAACATTTTTCTAAATTTATTTTTAATGGAGCAATGGGCTGATAGATATATACTGTACAAATACAAGTGCTTATTGTGATGAAAAAAATGCCTCATTTTCAGATGCTTTGCATGCATACTTTGGGATCTGTGGCTTGTCGCTAATGGAAGAGAGTGGAATTTGTAAAGTTCATCCTGCCCTGAATGTAAGCACACGAACTTCAGAACGCCTGCAAGATCTCCATCAGAGCTGGAAGACTAAGGACTCTAAATCATGCTCAGAGAATGTCCACATCTCCTCATGACTGACTGTAGATGGTGGGCGGGGGTTGGTAGCATAACTGTAGCTCAAGGTTTAAAAGCCATGTGTAACCAAGTGTGCTCTTTTTTTAAGAGGTAGAGTCTTACAATCAAATCTCACACTGATGTCACTTTGGGATATGGTCTTGAGCCAGTAATCTTTGTACTGGGTTTCAAGGATATCTTTGTTGAAGTTGGAACCACAGTGGACTCTATTGTGGTTCTTTAATGTTTATATTAAATTTCTAAGAAGTTCTTTGAGGCAAATTAACTATGTATGGAGGTTACCTTTTTAAGAGAACTCTTAAATACAAATTGTATCATATTATAAAATGGATACAAATCTTCAAAACAAGTTTACAGTTCATCATAGCATTGATAATCTTTGGGTGAACACTTAGTGATCATTTAGAACGTTGACTGCTGGTGGTAGAAAATTGCTTTAATGAATTAAGTATCTGGGATTGTCCTTTGAAAATAGATGATCCCATAATTTTTTAAAGAAGAATGATTTATTTTAAGTAAAGTGTGCCAATTAAATTTATGTGGTCTTATGAATGAAATTAATGTCATGGCAAGAGTTGGTAGGCTTAACTAACACAGTAATTTTTTAAGGGAAGATTGTTTGAAGAAGACTATTATGTAACTGAGGGAAAATCATTTAACTACACGTGATTGTGAATGGGATATTTTTGTGCTACGCAGGTCTTTTATTTAGATGTTGCCTGGGTAAATAACACTTATGTTTGATTTTAATCCCAAATAATTAGTTGCTTTCTTTTTTCTTTCTGGGGAGAAAACAGTCTTCTCTACAAGGAAAGACATTTAGTGCTTCTGATTATTTTTCTGAAGTATGTGATATTTTAAATTATATTTGTACTTTTGTACCTGAGTTATTTTTAAGTCACTTGCATTTTTTTTTTAGTTTGTTGCTCCCAATATGTTAGTTGCTCTCATTTCAAACTGATAATTTTATAATTTTTCAAATTAAATAAGTAAAAATTTTAAGTCAAAACAGAACCACTCAAGTAAATTTAATTGTGCCGTTCCATACATGGTCATTTATATTTTTATATTTTCAGATAAATGGGAGAGAAATATATACCATTTAGGTGTTAAGGATGAACTTTCACTTTTCTTTATTCTGTGGACTAGATCATTGTAAAGGAGGTAGTGTAAAACTTCATTAGTAATCCATTTCTCAGTAAATCAGTGACACTCAAAGATATGTTTGCTACTAAAATAGAGAAGGCTATCACCTCACTGAAGGAGCTGGTTGTAAGTAAATAAATGTTGAATTTTTCACTCTATAAATATCAGTATGAAAGCTAAATTACTAGTATCACCATTAGGTGTTATAATATTTCATTGTTTTTCCTAAATTGAAGGAAAAAACACCTGTAAACAATGCTCCTTCCCAAAGAAAACCTAAGTAGGTACTTGGGAAAACTATTCATTTATATTTGACATTGCTTAAGTTTATTTTTTGACTTGCTTAAGTTTAAACTTGCATTAGCCAATGTTAACTCTTTTTTTGTTGGAAGTGAAATCAATCTTCTGAATGGTGGAGAAGAAGTAAGTTTAACATGCTTTCTGTGAATTGTTCCACTTGCTTTGATTTAAATTGTGACAAACTAAGATATCCATATTTCAAACTAAGTCATCTCTTAGACATTGAGAGTTAAAATAGCACATATGGAATGGCTTTAAAACTAAAAATTCCCAGTTGATTTTCCTGAATTGTTGCTAATGATTGACTGGTAAGCAATCAAATTAGTAACCATATTCATAAATAAAAAAGAATTCCAATGTAAAAGTATTTCATGAAACTATTAGAAAATATTTTTAACCCCTTGTTAACTAGCACAGTTATAAATTAACATGTGAGTGTAATTGATAAACTTGTGAGAAACCTTGAAACTTTATGCATCAGTGAATGTTCACATCCCACAGTTGAATACTGACCAAAAAATATCAGGTCAGTGTGAATTTGGAGACACTACTCCTCACTTTCTCTAAATAGTTATTTATAAGAAAAGTACTTATTAGTAAATTATAAGCATAATTTTATATAATATACTTTAATGGTAGAGATATAATGAGAAGGGAAGTATGAAATTCCAGAATCTTGAGTAAGTATTTCCTCTATCTCCACTCGCCCCCCTTTTATTTTACTAGACAGGAGAAACGTAGTTTTAAGCATCTGCAGAAAAACAAGGTTAGTCCGGTCGTATAGCACAAGTCCACCTATGTAGTGGTTTTAGATTTGACCTGTAATATGTACACATTTCTAAGAGATCATTAAGTAGCTATTTATAAATATTTAAATTCAAATAGAGGTTTTGCTGGTAGTGTCACATAATTTGAAAAGTGCTGGACCTGGTAGTATTTGAAAAATCACTTTAGTACAGAGGTGCTCTGGAGTCCAAGGACAAAGGTTCAGGTCCCTGTAATAGACACCAGTTCAGCTCTGTGTGTCTTATATCCTACCTTGCCCAGTGGCAAGATGAGGAAAAGGTAAAATGCAACTCTCAGGTGGTTTGAGGATTAAATAAGATAATACCTTGGCATAGTACCTTAAATATAGTAAGTACCTAACTGTAATTCCTGTCACAACCATTGTAAAATTATTCTTAAACCTTTTCTATAATAGGAAGAGATCTCACAAAGTTTAAACTCAGGAAAGTGAATGGCAGCTGTGTAGATTTTGAATCTCCCCACAAGGTAAGTAGGATAACCACAGACCCTAGGCTAAACTAAATGACAAGGTGTCCCCGTGAACCACAAAATACAACTAAGTGAGAACAAACCCCTGACATATTTTCAGCATCTGTGTGGGAGGAAGTGGGAGGAGGCAGCTGCTTGACACCCTTGACAATAGGACTGTCCTTTGCCCTGGTTTCCTCACCTAGTGCAGTGGGCCAGTCCGAGAACAGAAGCTATAAGTGGGAGGCCTTCTACAGGTGCCCATTGGCACGTAAGTGTTGTGGCAATAGAATAATATAATAAGGCCCCGTGGTTATGCTTGAGCAGTCTGGGCCCAGTCCTTAGACCTCTTAAAATGAATGAAAGCCCAGCACTGAGGAGAAACTTCTAGAATTAGAATTCAAATTGGGCAGTAAGGTGCAGTAGGACAGAGAGAGTCCAAATGCATGTTGAAGGACACTATCCACAGATACACACATAGTTACATGTAATCTTGTAAGTCACATTGTAGAAATGAAAAGGGAGCTTTTGGGCCATTGAGCTAATAAGAAAAGTCATCCTAGATCTTCCCTTCCTCCTAAAAGAACAGGAGAACTTTCATTTCACTAAAAAAGGTAGCTAAGAAGTATTACAGTCAACTCCCATTTAATGTTATAGGAAACTAAGCCAACCAGCTTTCCCATAGTGAAAACATGCCGCAAAGGCATGATTACCTGACTGATGAAGACCTGATTTTTTAAAAATTCTAAAAGCAGGGAATTTATAGTTTTCGAAACTGTTAATAAAAATGTGGTTAGCTGAAAATTAACCAAGTCTTGAAAATGAGGAAAAATAAACTACAAGTGGGAGGGAATTATTAAGAGCAGGTTTGGGTGTGGGAGAGTTAGGGAGACAATCCACTAGCTAAACTATTTGAGAGAAAAGGGAGGAAAGAGTTAAATGACAAGTTTCATAAAATGTAAGACTACTTTAAATAATGTTTTGTCATTAGGTTTTTTAGAAAAATGCACAATTACCCTAGTAGAAACAAATTCAAAACAAAAATTACTTTAGAAGAAACGAATGATTAAAGGACCCCTTGCCAAAAAAACCAGTCAGGACCAGATTGCCACCAAATTTTTTTAGATTAAGTAATCCTGGTGGTTTAGCAATTCCCGAGGCCAGATAAAGAATGTTCAAAGTCAAAATGCAAAATAATTCTAAAACTTATGAAATTATTTCGTAAAGTAAATGTAATAACATTGTTTCCAAAGTCTGACATAGATTGTACCAAAGAATGTAGTCATTATTTTAAATATCAAAGCAAAAGATTGACATTAGCAAAAAAGCCAACAGCTCTCAAAAAGTAACAAATCATGACTAAACATGATTTGTTTAGGACTGTACTATTGTGTATTAGAATGTAATATTAGACAACCATTAATATTCATCATTACAAGGAGAAAAGTACAATTGTATCCATCCTTGTAGAAAAGGAATGTTAGAATTAAGCACTTATTCATGTTAAATATACTCAGTCAGTATAATTTTGAGTATATATTTGTGACTAATTCATTAATGCTATCCCAGAAACATCATCATAATGGCAAAAACAAAAGAGGCTTTCCAGCTAAATTCAGGGAGAAGACATAGGCCCACTCACCACTTAACTCTGTGTTGGGGTTTTAGCCAAGGAAGTTTGACCAAAGAAACAAAAAGAAAAAAAACCCCAGACCTGTGAATTACACACAAGGAGGTGAAACTGGCAGCTCTCCTGCCCACCTGAGGCTATGCAGGTGCCTTTTTCTTTTTTTTTTTTTAAAGATTTATATTTATGCATACAAGAGCTGGGGTACAGGCCAGAGGTGTGGGGGGTGAGAGGATTCACCAGAGACAGAGTGGGGAACAGAATAGGCGGATCTACTGAAATACACTGCTGAGGGGAGCAGCGGGTGAGACAGGCGAGGTCTGCTGCGCCATGTGGGTTTCCCCTTGGCTGGCCGGGTATCAAACTTGTGCTGCAGAGGCTTCGGGACAGCTTCGTAGGTTGCGTCTTAACCCCTTGCGTCACCAGGGAGGCCCAGGTGCCTCTTTTTCTTTCTCCTTTACCTAATAAACCTATCCTCTAAAAATGTAAAAAAAAAAAAAAAAAAAAAAGAGATGGAACTATTTGCACAGACTTTTATATTCTAGATATATTTATATCTAGAAAACCACAAGGAATAAGAACTTAGTAAAATAACACTACTACATCTTACACAGAAATATCAGTAGTAGCTTTCACCAGATTAAAAACAAACAAAAGTCCTGATTCCATTTAGATGAAGTTTCAAACAGGTAAAATGTATAGTGTCATAAATCAGTACCCCTTTCAGGCCCTCCCAAAGATAAGCACTATCATAACTTAAATTACCATTCGTTAGTTTCGTCTGTTTTTGAACTTTAAGCATGTGAAATTGTAACATACACATTATTTTTTAGCCGGCTTCTTTAGGTTAACAAGGACTGGAAATATACGAAGGCGGCTCCTTTGGTGCTGGGAACCTCCTATCTCCTGAGTCAGGTGCTGGTACACAGGTGCATTCACTCTGGGTATTTATCAAATTGTACACTTAACAATTTGTGCACTTTTCTGTATGTATAATTACAGTTTAATAAAATGTTTACTAAAAAAAATAGCAGACTTTATATATATATACATACAAGTCAGTTAGAAGATACACTGGAAGAGAAATTCCTTATGATTGCAAAAAAAAAAAAAACCTATGACTTGTACAAAACTTGTAGGAAGAAAACTTAAGAGAAAGGAAACTCTTGAAATACAATAAGTAGACTTGGAAATAATGATAAGATAACATAAATCTAAACATATTTTCCCCCTTAGGGGCAGGGGAATGCTGTCCCAATAAAAATTACCCTGTTTGTCTTTATTGAGAACATGCCAGAGTGAGTGGGAAGATTGAAAAGAATAGAAGGAGTTAGCCCACTGGCTATTAAAATACACTCTTAAATCCAAAGGGAAGGAAGAAATATTCCAGAAATAGACCAAATGTTACTAGAATACAAGAAAGGCAGAATGTCCAATTGCTGAGGTTACCTTTGAAAATAGGTCTTATCAAAATGATTGGTGCTTAATTATACATGTATTTACATATATTTTTAAAGAATGTATTCTTCACATCACATTGAACCTTTTTTTGCTATGAATATTTATATTTCTTAAAATTAAATAGAGACGTCAGTGATAGTGCACCCCCGACCACTGCCCAGTCTGTCCTGGCAGTAATCATCCCTGCAGGTGAATCCTTGAATTCTTTATTACCACTTTCTCTCTCTCCCTCCACACACATACATATTTAAATATCCGTCTTTAAGTTTCGTCTTCTCAATTCATACATACACATACAGGTAGATACACATGTGTAAATATACATACAAATATTAGATACTCTTCTGTACTGTAGCTTTTTTCTATGTAGTAATATATTATGACTACCTTTCAGTGCCCATACTTGCATAGTATTGTTTTGCATTAGTGTATCATAATTAATCTACCTTTTCAGTTACGAAAATATTGCCTTAAGATTCTTGAACATATATCATTGCCTACTTGTGTGATTTTTTTTAAATATGAAGATAAGAAATTGCTGGGGCAAAGAGGGTGCATCTTTTACATTCTGATAGCTTTTGCCACATTTTCTGAAAAGGCTGTATGGGTGTATGCTTATACCTTGATCATTAAGATTTTAAATATGATCAGAAAATAATCTAATAAATACCTACTTATAACTCAGAGGTGAGGCACTGGAAAAGACCTGAGTGGCTTAGTTCCTCACCATTACTTTACAAATTGCAAATCTGAGGCCCAAAGATGAAGTAACTCATGCAAGATCTGATACTTTCATACAGATAAAAAATTACATTTAAGTGTATATGCGCCTGTGTATATAAAGGGAGTGGCAATGCTGCATCTGGAATGCTTGTTTTCTGTCTCACAACAGGGATATTCTTTTCATGCCACCATGTTTCTTAGGGGTGTTTATCACCTCTTTTCACATTTTTACAGGTGTTCGTTTCCAATAATTTTTTATTAAAGTTCTGTAAGGTGGTCAGTGACAGTGTGCATGGGGTTTCCTGAATTGATTGACAGTGCACTGCTGCTGTGGAGATTAGTCATTAGGGAAGGTGGGCCTCTCTATAGCTTGTTATCAGCTTCTTGTCATTCTAAATATTTCTTTTTTTTATTTAAATTTTATTTTTTATATTCCCCATACAATTACAACCCCCTTATTTTGACCCCAATCCCTCCTTTCCCCACCCCCCACCCCCATAGAGTGTCTCTGGTTCATAGTTGTTTGTCAATTTTAATATTTTCTTTCTTATAGTTATTCTTTTTCCTGGTCCCTTATTTAAGTTTTCTAGATTCCTGCTATGAGTGAGACCATCCGGCATTTTTCTTTTTCTTTCTGGCTTATTTCGCTGAGTGAGACCATCCGGTATTTTTCTTTTTCTTTCTGGCTTATTTTGCTGAGCATGATCCCTTCCAGTGCCATCCATGTTGCTGCAAATGGCATGTGTTTATCTTTTTTGAATGCTGAGTAATATTCCATGGTGTATATGTACCACATCTTCTTGATCCAGTCATCTATTTTTGGGCCTTTGGGTTGTTTCCAAAGCTTAGCTATTGTAAATAGTGCTGCTATATACATAGGCGTGCAGGTGCCCTTTGGAATTACTGTTACTGTGTCATTTGCGTAAATACCTAGGAGTGGAACTGCTGGATCATATGGAAGCTCTATGTTTAGTAGGTCAAGAAATCACACAAGAAAAAGGAACTCTCCTGCGCTGTTGGTGGGAGTGCAAACTGGTCCAACCACTATGGAGAGCTGTATGGAGATTTCTTGACCTACTAAACATAGAGCTTCCATATGATCCAGCAATTCCACTCCTAGGTATTTACCCAAAGGACACAGAAACATCAATTCCAAAGAGCACCTGCACCCCTATGTTTATGGCAGCACTGTTTACAATAGCTAAGCTTTGGAAACAACCCAAAGGCCCAAAAATAGATGACTGGATCAAGAAGATGTGGTACATATACACCATGGAATATTACTCAGCATTCAAAAAAGATAAACACATGCCATTTGCAGCAACATGGATGGCACTGGAAGGGATCATGCTCAGCAAAATAAGCCAGAAAGAAAAAGAAAAATACCGGATGGTCTCACTCAGCGAAATAAGCCAGAAAGAAAAAGAAAAATGCCGGATGGTCTCACTCATAGCAGGAATCTAGAAAACTTAAATAAGGGACCAGGAAAAAGAATAATTATAAGAAAGAAAATGTCAAAATCGACAAACAACTATGAACCAGAGATACTCTATTGGGGGTGGAGGGCAGGGAAAGGAGGGATTGGGGTCAAAATAAGGGGGTTGTAATTGTATGGGGAATATAACAAATAAAATTTAAATTAAAAAAAAAGACAATCTCAATTGCAGATATGTAGTAGAAATCTACAGAATAAAAATGAAAAAGACAGAAAAAAAAAAAAAAAAAAGAAATCTCCACACAGCTTTCCATAGTGGTTGGACGAGTTTGCACTCCCACCAATAGTGCAGGAGATCATCTTCATTCTAAATATTTCAAAAGAAAAAGTTCTTAGAAGTATATGAGGGTACACGAAAGTCATAAAATTCACTGGAGACACTGAGTTTAGACTCATTGCCAATTTTCCTCTCATTTAATCCTAGATGAGAAGTCAGGGAGTTTGGTAGAGCTTTATGAAGTCTCTAAGGAGTGAAGGAAAACAATTTGATAAAGTGTGCTAAGTAGCTTGCTAGATTGTTAATGGATTTCATCTTGCCATTTGAATTTCATCGATTGAACATCACCCTAGAATATGCACAAATGGTTTTCCATAACACATTATTTTCTTCTGCTATAGAACATGTCATAGGAAATTAGTAGTTAAATTATAGAAATATGCATGTAAGAAGAATTAATTGTTCAGGCAGTAGCACTTATAACTTGATAGTTATTTTAATATTTCTCTTATTAGGGTTCTTTCCAACTCAGCATTGCTTCGAACATCAAACATTTTTTTTTGGGGGGGGTGGATAGAAGGAAATTTTGTAATTAAAGAATATATGCTTTAAAATTATGGGCAGTAACTTTCAAATTGCTACCCAAAGACAGTGTAGCTATATATAAACTCACAAATGGGGTATTAAGTACCTGTTTCTGCATATCCTCTGTGACACTGGATGTTTGTAATCTTACTTTCTCCACTGTGAGGAATAAGGTGGTATTCCCTTTTTGGTAAACAATCCTTAGAAAACAAGTCCTGCTAGGTTTATGGGGAGTGTTATTCCTTCTATGGTCTGAGAATGACATCAGAACAATGTCTTTCCACTAATACAGGATTTACAACAGCAGTTTTCAAAGTGTGGTCTGCAGACTAGCCTTGGCATCACCTGAGAACTTACTAGAAATGTAAATTCTTTCTAATAATTTGGGGATGTCAGGATGGGATCAATGTATTTTGTATCTGGAATAGATGTGAATTTGGGGGTGCAAAGGACAGACTGTACTGGGTTGAATGGTGTCAAAAACCCCATGCCCACCAGAACCTCAGAGAGACAGGAAAGAAGGCCATGTGAAGACAGGCAGAGACTGGAGTTCCACAGCTAGCAGGTAAGAAACGCCAGTGTTGCTGGCCACCACCGGAGCTCGGAGAGAGGCGTGGGATTGTTCTCCCTTAGAGCATCCAGAAGGGGCTAGTTCTGCCGACACCTTGATCTTGGACTTCTCCAGAACTGTGAGATTATAAATTTCTGTTTTTTAATTTGCTCAGTTTATGGTAATTTGTTACATCAGGCTTAGGAAAAAACTAACACCATAGGTGTTCAAGTGTCGATGGGTATGTCTTCACTACACTTTAAAAATACGTCTTTAAAAAAAAAGATGGACAGACATGTATGCCTTTTGTTGGATATCTGGGTCACAAACAATGTCTTTCTGCCACTTAGCTCTTCACTTTGTCTACGATGCCCTTGATGTATGTAATTTTAACTTAAAGGGTATAACCCATTTCCTTCAACTCGTATGCAAGTTATTTGGTCCAGCCTTAGCCCTGGTGAAGCTGAAATTGAGAAGGGGCCAGACATCTGTGTTAACAGGTCCTCCCAGGTGGCTCTGATGCACTCTCAAATTTGAGAGCTGATCACTTAGAAAAGGCAGCTTTAAAGTTTTAAAAAAGATGGGAGATTTAGTTAGATACAACATTGTGATCTTTACTCCCTAGCTGGAAAAGCTAATAGGAACTTAGCCTGTGGTAGTAGGGTTGGAAATATACTTAATGCTCAGAGAGGCAAAGAAAATAGAACATGATCTTCTCAAACGGTCTCCTTCTTTGCCTGTATCTTTGCATGTCAAGGGCAGCGGAAGCTCGAGAGCAAGGCCATTTATTTTGCTCCCCAACTATCTCTTCTGTTTTTGCCTCCTGCTCCTTGCTGTCTGTTGTATTTGACTCCTGGTGGCAGCAGTGAGCCTGTCACAGGTTGCTGCTCTCATCTGGGCCCTGGTCTAATGCCTACAGAGGTGCCTGCTGGCCCGGACCATTTGC